AGATTAGAGTCCTGTCGTTGGATGAAACACGAGATAAAACATAATAAGAGTAAACCATGATATTATAGACCATTCTTGTCTTTTTCGAGCATCCAGCATGTCTGTATATCTCTTGCACCCTATAACAAAATACCATGTTGATGTTGAAGACTTGGCAACAATGTGCTGAATGCTGAAAACTGACAAGGCACCGCCCACGTTCACTTTCAAATATCCTCTAGTGTGAATTAATATAATAATATTGATATTAACACAAATGTATTATAAACAATAAGCCACAACAGATGAGGGAATATTTTGAGATCAATTGATTTTTATGTCTAATTAGGAATATAACCAATACAAAACTGAGAATTTATAAATTATTGAATAACTAATATTTCCTAAGTTTCAATCGAATCTCAACATATGGCAACTGTGCTATGGTCTGTCCCTACTTACAAAATCGTGACGTCAGTTTTCACTCGCGGTAAATTTTTAGCCGTTTGAAAATTAGCGTGGCATTATTGTTGATCTTAGCACCTTAAAATCGAATAAAGAATGCTAAAAATATATGAAATTGAGAGTTATTTGAGTGATGATTCTATTCAAGAAGAAGAAGATTGAAATTAAAATGGATTATCATTTGGTTAACTGAATCTTGCAGAGGTCTGCTACTGAGAATTGAACATCGAAGGAAAATACATCAATAAAAAAAGTTCTGAACTCTAGTTTTTGGATTTTTTTCGGAACTCGTCTTGTTTTGAGATGAATTCATTCCACACATTTGCATCATACTGTATATCTACCGTTCCTGCAAATTTCAGAATCCTAACTGAACAAATACGAAAGATACAGGGATGCTTCCATTAAGAGTGATACACACTGTGCAATGTTCATCTTGTGTCAATTCTGATACTCAGATCTCTTCATCTGAAGTTTCATCTTCAAAATGAGCATGCGATTTCAACAATCGGTTGGGCAGGAAAAAAGTTATGACTCCAAAACCTAAAAGGTAATTTTCCGATATCACTCTGTAAGTAAAAGGGATATTATCAGAGTTGAAAAAAAAAAATTTCGTTCATTTGGAATCCTCTTGAAAATTCAAAAACTTTTCATTGTTTCAGGTGACACCCTGTAGCGAGTTGATATGAAGAACCTCATGTTTCAAAGAAGTACGAGCGTTGATTGATATATTTATATTACGTAGTTCAATTTTGATTCAACAGCTATGGAGTTACAATCTGAGACAATTTTTGTTATATCCAAATTGGATGTTTGATCAATAAATGCCTCAAAATCGATATGATTCCTAGAATAAATTGATTTGTGGCCACTGGTACCACATATCGAATTGGATGCGCACTGGTAAAGAGTAGTTTTTCCGCTCTTTTCAGATATCGAACCAGATCTACGAATATTTTATATACAGGGTGTTGTTTTTTGAATATTATGAATGTTTAGTTTTTCCTGAAGACGGACCTGGATTCTGATTTCAATTTCCAATTAATTCCATTGTGTAACATGGGTTGAATATCCCTACCAAGTATGAATGGAATATACAAAGTGATTCAAAAGTTATGACCACATAAATATTTTGCCAAAATACGTCCTGTATCTCAGTTACTCAGTTATAAAAGACCGTAGACACAATAATAGGAGGTATTTTGGAACCACCAAAGTGTCTTCTATCTACAGGTATCGTATGTACATTTAAATCTGGAACACCCTGTATAGTATACAAAATATAAGATGAAGTATTGAACACGGATATACTGACAGTATTATTTTCGAAAGTCTTATGATATTAAAAAAATTAACCTAGGCTGAAAATATAATCTTTCCCAAAATATCTAGATATGTTTTGTTAACTGGAGAGAAGAGGAAAATGATGAACAATGTGGTCTACTTTTTATAAGAGTGCATCCAAATTGACATTTGGTATAATAATAATAATTAAATGTTTATTTCGACAGAATCAGAATACAATAGAAGAAATAATGATAATAAGTTAACATTAGGTGAATAAACATTAGAAAACCCACAGAAGCAGCAGATGTAGTGAAAAAGTATAAATTTCGTTTGACGAGCTATTATTGAAAATACTAAGATTAATAATTTTGGAATATAAACCTAAGTAGGTACAAAAATTCAAGAGTGTTAAATATTTATATACAGAATAATCAAAATGGATAGATATAAAAATAAATGAAATACGTACAAAAATTCAAGAGTGTGAAATACTTAATTAATTTGTGTGGTGAAAATGTATTGAGCACTCGAAAATATTGAAAATAATTGACAAATGGTTCTATGGAACGAAATCCATCGATAGTTTACCTAGTTCGGCTCTAATTGAATTGACATTTGTGATAAAATTGGAATTTTTGAATAACGACTTCAATAAAAAAACTATTTTTCAAATTGGATGCACACTGTTGAAAAAAAGAAGATTTTTGTTTTGCCTGAAGATGGATCTCGATTCTAAATTCGATTCATATTTAGTTTTGGTGAGAAATATGAGTTGAATATACCTACCAAGTATGAATCGATTATACACAGTGGTTCGAAAGTTATGTCCTGACCATAGATGAAGATTTTGCCAAAATCAAGATTATGTTCTGTATCACAGTTATTGAAGATGATAAATTCCTAAAAGATACAGTTTCGAACAGGAAGCACAAAAATCAGAAGAAAGTATTCCTTGATCGAAGAAAATACAACAAACGGTATGAAACATACAGGGTGGGTCACGACGAGCTTACACTATCTCTATATCGAGAATCAGTCGGGAGAAATCCATGAAAATATGCATGTGATCAAAATTCTGAATCTTGAAGCACCCTGTATCTGTTCCGATTGAATATCAGTAAATAGTGAAATAAAAGTTGAGATAGGGACATGTGAGCCGTTTTGGCCGATAATGAATAGTTTCAACACAAACAAATCCTAAAGTTGAATAATCTCTATTTTGAACACCCTATATCTCTGTAATCTTTCCCGATAGACCCCAAGTATGACGTATCGATGGAATCAGCTCTTCAGGGAGAATCTTAAAATGCGATAAAATACAGGGTTTTCAGTTCGAAATATCAATGTTGCTACTACTTTCTAGTAGAAGCGGCAACACTGCATTGTCGAACATATCTTGAATGAAAAGAGCGTATACCAAAATATGAGCATGCACATTTCCAAAGATTTCTTTAGACTGAATCTCGATTTAAAGATAGTGTAAGCTCGACATGGCATACCCGGTATAGGGTAATGAAGTTAAATGAATACAGAGAAATATGAGGAAAAATTGAGAGAATTTCTTTGCACTCACCAGCATGAAAAAAGTGAGGCTTTGATGAAACAACACGAAACACTAGAACAACACACGATCCCGATATTAGTATTATTGAATCCAATGAGGAATACGAAAACACTATATACGAATCAATACGATCACTCAGTTTTTAGGGAACACTCCGTTTGGAACGATAAATAATTCCTTTCGCGTATTTTTCAATGTCGATCACAAAATTCGGCCGTACGTGATGACATCTAATATAAGACTGTCTTGATTTACCACCTGGTCCCGAATGAATGACTAATAAGTTGAATCATGCTGATAAACGATAAATTTCCGAACAACAAATGATTTATCTATGACTAAGGATGATAATAAAATTGAACGGGGGGGGGGAAATATTTTGTATACAGGTGCTATTTTTTTCGACAATCACTAACGATATGGAAGAATTTTACATAGGCTGAAAATATATTTTTTCCAAAAATCTCGTGATTATGGAAGAACTTAACATACAATATGTAGTGAAGAGATCGAACCCTTTCCCATTACCAAGAAATAATTTACCACAGTGATATACAGCTAAACAATTTTTGTTTTGAAAATATTGGTCACCCGAATAATAATTCCGATAGCTCGCAGTCTCTTTTTAAAAACTTTTTTCGTATGCGAGTATGATATGGCAAATAATTATACATATTTATACAAGTAATGTTCAACATACGAAGTCGAGTTAAGAACTCATTTCAGAATGGCTTCTGCTAGGTACATCCCAGATAGCACAATGTCATTCGTAGAACGTTCATAGAATATTCTTCGAGAATATTTGAATTTTCTCAGAATTTTCTCACAATAAGATACAAATATTCTAGGGACGTTCTATGAACATTCGGAATGGACTGTTTCAAATATTCTGAGAATATTCCTAGTATATTGAAGGAGAAGGAAGATTACATTACATTATTTCTTATGTATTTACCCTCAAAAATGTCACCTACGCTCCTGATGCAATGTGATAAAATATATAAAGGTTGAAGTTTCAGATATTTCTATACCGATTGTTTTGTTTCCGATAATAACACAGGGAGATGTACTTGAAAGAAGTTTCAATAGCCCCTATTGTCTTCATCGAAGGTTGAACATTATCAGCAGAGAGTATAAGAAATCTATGGTTCAAGAAATATTGCAAGGTTTTCCAACAACCAATTAAAACAAAAACTAATACACTACCTAACTAAATTATTCAGGAATAAAAAAGTAACAACGTCAAAAATGATGATTCCAATGGAAATGCGCGCCTTATTATTGTTTTAGAGAAAGTACTTAAACTATATCGAGCCCGTTATTTCGTTCATGTTATAATGTAGGTATAACATTACATATATAGAATCAACAAGGCGTGGTTGATCTTCAAATAATGTCCTCAAAAAGAAAAATAGTTATGTAATTTCCTGTTGGATGAAATTTTCAACCAGTGGTAAACCTAGATCTAGTACAACCATTTCATAATGTAGCAGATTAGTTGTCTTAATAATAATAAGGTTGGTAGAAAATAATAACGCTTATCGCGCCATCTCGTGAGCGAATTTTCAGCACGTAGCAAACTTATAGATTGATCAGCAGAAGACTGGTTTCTGTAAGGTGCTTCAACTTATTCGTGTTCTATGTATCTCTTGTTCTACGAGATCTGTGTAATGTGTAACAATTTTATATTCCTGTGTTTCCGTACAATCTGACGTTCATGTCAATGATCTGACATATTCAAGGTTTGAGGTTATTTTATTTTTTCCAAAACTGTCTGATGACGGTTATTGACAAAAAAACTTGAAAAAAAGTGATAAAATCGAAACATACGTGATGTAGCTAACTGTGATAGTGATAATACTTTGCTGGTAAGAATATTCAGTCTATAGTCTGCTAAATGGAAAGAGAAATTATATCTGAATCTTTCATTTCCTTCACAGAGTATTGCAGTTTCTTTCAAAGTCTAGCAATGAACTTGATATAATATGTAGTACTAATAAGACGCGATCAATGACCATAATATATCAGAATATAATTAGAAAATTAGTCTGTTTAAACTGACCATTTTTTCCTCATTTGCAGCCAAAATGTAACTGCAGATTTCAATTAAGTATATACCTATATCAGTATTTTCGAGAGTATTTGAAATAAGTTTGGGACACATAGGTAGGCTTATTAATGTTTAGACAACACAGCAATTCCAATTACCATTTGATATTCTTGCTAGATAGTTAGAGGCTTATCTAATTAATACCCTATTTCATGGAGAATTTGTTATAGGTTTTCTCAAATAAAGCTGGAGTTTACTATTTGTTTTGACAGCTCTTCAAAATAGTGAAACCAAACAATCCATCAGAAACCTCCCATACCGTTTTTCCTCGCTTCTTTCAGATTGCACCCTTCCGTTTTTTTAAGATTCATACTAGAAAGCTTCATTTCTTCATAATTTTGAATCTTGATTTGGATATAGTGAATGAGTGAGACAAACAGCAAGAGATGATTCCTTGTTATATTTTAGGAAATGAAGTTCATATGAAAATGTGTCCTAACTTGCTTCACTTATGAATATTTTCCATGGAAAATCGTTTTCCTGTATTCATTACTGGAATGTCTTTTTATCAATTCCAATGAAACTTGGTGGCTTTCTTAATAGTAATATGAAGCTACTTTTGATGTCATTACTTCTAAAATGATATTTCCAATGGCGTCACAATGGGTCAATTTTTAGATATTTATTGTGAATATCAATGTACGCCACTGTTTTTTTTAATTCCATATTTTTTTTAGATTGAATAATTGGAATAACAACTTTCTCATCCCTTGTGTTTTGTATCTGACGTTGTTTTTGAGGAAACATAGGTGCTTTTTTTGCTTTCTCACTGTGGGAGCAGTAGAATTGACGACCAATAAAACGATGTGATTCATTTTGAGAGTTGTGTCATTGAGCTGATCTTTTTTAGGTTATACAATAATTCCGGAAATCCGGGATCTTGCTGTTCATCCGCACATAATTATATAATAATATACAGGGTGATTCAGGTTTTAAGGCACAAACTGAAATGGGAGATAGATCTCATCATTTTAATCAAAAAAGTTCATATAAACATTAGTCCGATCTAGTTCAGTAACGGAGCTACAGGGGGTCAAAGTTTAATTATTTTTTTCTATCAATTGAAATATCTCGCTTACTTTTCAAGATATCATTTTGAAATTTGGTAGGGTCAATACTTCCTAGAAGATCATCATTCCAAGCATTTTAAAGATTTTTTAAATCTACAGGGTGATACGTTTCTGGAGGTAGAGGCTTCTTTATTCCCTTAAAATTTTTTCGTAGTACGCCTCTGGCATCTTTCAGTGATCAAATTGTGTGGATCATTCAATTTAGAGGTTTTTTCTGCTCCTCAATTTTTTTCGAGAAACGAACTGTTTTTGAGATAAATAAGCATATACGTTCGAAAACATGTCAATTTTGCTTATGTTTGCTTAAATTGTATTCTTTGACAAAATTCGTTGAGAATGCAACAAAATGTTCTAAGATTGCAATGTTCTTACGCACGTTACTGATCTAGATTGGACTGGTGATTTCAATTTTAGTGAGTACATTTCATTGCATTTTCAACGAATTTTGTCAAAGAATAAAATATTTAGGCGAAACATAGGCAAAATTAACATGTTTTAGAACGCATACAGTGTGTCCCACTTACCATGCTCACCATGGGTATCTTTTTAACGGTGAGAGATACGAGGTCGGTTAAATGACACCAAATGTGGAGTTTGTCAAGGCCAACCATAATGTGAAAAAATATTTTGATAAAATCTATTCGTTCTTGTTTTATATGCAAAAAACAGATTTTGATCATTTTCATGTCTCCTCCGTAACTTCTTTATTTATGAAAATATTCAAATAGGAATTTCACATTCTCATGGCAGTTTTTCAAAGTGATTTCGAAAAAAATATGAAATTTATATCAACTCTTCTGGAATTTGAGATATCAGCACCAACTTTAGTTTTTCAAATGTAGGTCATAGCTCACTATGACTTAGTTACAAATAACTTTTTTGATATGTCGTAGTAATAGTTTTGTGTTGATAACAACGGAGTTATCGTCATTTATACAAAAATAAAAAATTATTCGGAAGCCGCATCTTGAATTTATGAATTTTAACAAAAAAAATCAAGATCTCCGACCTCAAAAACACCCATTTACCAATTTTGAATGGAATCGGACCAAATCTTGTCCGCCATCTTGGAGCAGCCATTTTTTTTAATTTCAACAAAGATTCCATGACTCCGATTAACTTGAAATTTGGCAGGTGTTCATGATTTCGGTGACAATACATTATGTAATTTTTGTTGAAATTTAAAAAAAATGGCTGCTCCAAGATGGCGGACAAGATTTGGTCCGAATCCATCCAAAATTGGTAAGTGGGGGTTTTTGAGGTCAGAGATCACAATTTTTTGTTATAATTCATAAATTCAAGACGGCGGCTTCCAAATATTTTTTTGTTTTTGTATAAATGACGATAACTCCGTTGTTATCAACACAAAACTATTACTGAGACATATCATCTGTAAGAAAAAAAAAAGTTATTTGTAACTAAGTCATAGTGAGCTATGACCTACATTTGAGAAACTAAAGTTGGTGCTGATATCTCAAATTCTAGAAGAGTTGGTATAAATTTCATATTCGTTTCGAAATCACTTTGAAAAAATGCCATGAGAATGTGAAATTCCTATTTGAATATTTTCATAAATAAAGAAGTTACGGAGGAGACATGAAAATGATCAAAATCTGTTTTTGCGTATAAAACAAAAACGAATAGATTTTATCAAAATATTTTTTCACATTATAGTTGGCCTTGACAAACTCCACATTTGGTGTCATTTAACCGACCTCGTATCTCTCACCGTTAAAAAGATACCCATGGTGAGCATGGTAAGTGGGACACACTGTATATGTATGTGGATGAAGATTCAATATAGTATCGAGGAAATCTTGTTATTATAGTGTATATTAATTAGGTTATTAAATATTTGGAGCTTTGACACATAATAGGTACATTTTTAGTTCCTAGGATGAAATTTTGAAGATGGCAGGAAAAGATGATATCGGTAAGAGAATTTCAGAAACAAAAAGAGAAACTGAAGCAATGAAAGCTCAACTACAAAGTCTCATTAATACAGGAAAGAATATCATTGATTCTGGTTTTCATTCAGGAATATCTGGATTAGCACATTCTCATAATGATGCTTCCGATGAAAATGTAAAGACATCTCCAAATAAAGTACAAATTGTGAAGTCTTTCAACATTGATCATTCCAAACATGTGAACAAAATAACTACCTCTAAAAAACCTCTTATTACTAAAAATGAAGCTCAAAATGATTCTCCGAAAAAAGTCCGTAACTATAATAGAGATGAAGCTCGTGAATACATAAAGAAACAGCGAGAAAAACGCTTGGGACTAGCGAAAATTCAAGAAACTGAAAAGCTCAAAGCAGAATTACAAAAAAAGAAATTGCAAGAGCTGCATCAGAAAACTAAAGAATTGGTTAGCAAAAATGTGCAGGCTAAAAGAGAACGATCAAAATCTAGGGACAAAAACATTTATTTGAGGCCTGATGAGAACCCTTTGAGAACTGAAAGACCTCGTTCACTTTCCAGAGATAAAGAAGTTAGGAAAGGGGCTATCAGTAAATCGAAACCCGCAGTTTCTAATATCAATATGGAACCAAGAAATCCAAATTTACTACACCCTCCTTTACCGGACTATGTACAAAGACAAAGGAATAGACATGATGAAAGAAGCCGATCTAAAGACAATAAAGAACAAGAAGATAAAACTCAGAAGATATCAGGAAAGGAAAATAATTCTCCCAACAAAATTATCAACACTGCAACACCAACAAAAGAAGATCACTCAAGTCTGAAAACTTTGAAGCCGACTAACTTGTTTACTAATAATGATAAAGACAGAGCATTACTGGATAACGAAAAAACTACAAAAATCCAAGTTTTATCTAACATAACCATACGCTCTCCTACAGATGTTTCCAAATCACAAATGTTAGATAATGACCAAAAGAAAAGTGCCAATATATCAGATAAAAACTTACGTCGACCAATAATTTTGGAAAAAAACACCCAAGAAACTCAAACGAACGGGATATCAAAAGAATGTCCAACTTGGCTACAAGCACAACCAGCTCAAGGATATCCATATAATTTTATCAACACTGTCAAACGGCAGCTTCAGTTTGTCCAAAATTCTCCGAAACCATCTGTAGATATTAGAATTCAAAGCCTTCTAGTAGACTCAAAATCACCCCTACAGAACCCAGAAAAAGTCAGAACAAAACCACAATCAAAAGAATTTACACACGATTCTGCTAGCAAAAAGTCTAATCTAAATTCGTTCATTTCCCATAAATGCCTTAATTTAGATCCTAGAAAAATAGATCACCTAGAATTAGTACCTAAGGGTAATTATACTAGTCAAAACGATATTCAATCTGAAACAAGAATGTCAGGAACTGAAAGCGAGTCTGATACTTCGAAAAACATTCCAGAAATATCCAGTGAAAGCGGAACTTCATTGAAAAAAAATGCAGAATCTGTAAGGAGAAACCTCAACTCCGAATTAAACCTTGCCATTAATACCGATAGGTTGAATGACATGAAACTAGTTTCACACACTATCAGAAGTGCCACTACTACAATAAGGTCCAATATCAATGAAATTCCAACGGAATCCGATTCTGTACAAAATAAAAGTGAACCAAAACACAGTGAACTAACGCCTAACATGAACAGAAATAAAGGAAGCGTACGTTATTCCATGTCAATTGATGATGACTATGAATCTGATTTTCATACGGACTTATCGAGAAGCAGGGAGTCCATAATATCTTCCAACAGTCCCACTTACAATAAACAGATCATATTATTGAGTCCTGAATATGTTCCTTCAAATCATTCCAAGACTAGAACTGAAAGAAGTAAAACGAACTCTTCACAATCAACTACTAGTATCAGTAGAGAATTATATTCGCAAAATGTACCTGCGGCAAAGTCTACGCCAACAGAGAAACTCATTATAAAAGAAGTGCCTTCATTAAACGTACAAAATAGTATAACCACGGAAAAACATTCCACAAACATTCCAAATACGATAGCCACGAGGGACAACTCGGAAACTTTGAACACATCCAAATTTTCTACTGAGAACGAACAGAAAAAATCCACGAAAAAATCGAAATCTCCGCTGGTTTTCAACTCCCTACTTACCGAATTCCATCCATCCAGAACCATAAGCGAGAATCTATCGAAATCCGACAGTAATTTGATGTTCGTGAATACAAAAAGGGGTTCCAGCAGTTCTAACAAAACATTTTCAGCTGAGCCATTGAAACAGCCTAGCATTTCCCTGATCACAAAAGAGCAGTCATTAGTCGAGGAGGAAAAAAGTAGGAATATGTTGATCAAGAATATCTCGCTGAGATCAAATAAAACTGAAACTGTAGGAGTTATGGTGAGAACATAATATGATTGTTTGGATATCTAGTTGTTGTCTTGAAAATGTTGTTTCTTTTTCAGAATAGTACCAATGAGCTTCACTTGAAATTTGAAGCTGAAATACATCTTTTGAATGACTTCAATGCTTCCCTTCAACAAGTTGCAGCTGTAGAAAAGGTAAATAGGTATTTATTATACAAGGAAAAAAGTTCTAGATTTTAGCTCCAGGTTGCGTGAGCTAAAATCTAATATTTTATCCGTGTATAATACACTCAGTGACTCGCACAAAAATATTCAGTGACTCCCACAAAGATATTCAGTGACTCCCACAAAGATATTTAGTGACTTCCAATGAACTCCAGTTCAAACGGTTATTATATCTGTAGGCATTGGAAACTCTGAAATCCAATAGCAAAATAACGACATCGAAAATCCTTCAAAATCAAGATACCCAGACCTCGGCCAGACCGAAATCATCTACGGCCAGCAAAATTTCTGATCCTGCCGTATCGGAAAAGTCCGTCAGCGAGGTTGCCAGCATCAATTATTCCCGAGGATCATTCGTAAATTCTGTCATAGAAGAGGACGTGAGCAATATACTGGGTGGTTCGATTTTACAGAATCAAAACGATACCGCCCTTTCGACTCTTTTGGATCTGTCCACCCTTACCCAGAGTAAAAACACGTCAGTAATGAAGACTAGTGAGAATGAGATGAATTTTGAAAATCTGCAGACCAATAATTTCGCAGGAATGTCTTTGAATATGGTTAGTAATCAAGTGGAAAATGTTTTTTGGTAATTTCACTGTATTAGTGTTTCAAACAATATAAATTATCCCACATTTGAAGTGAAGCAAGGTAAAATTTCTTCAATTTTTGAAACGTCATAACTTTAGATTGGAACCACCAATTTTCAATGTCTATCAAGACTCTAATAGCTCATTTTATTGAGTACAACATCGCCATTTTTAGTTATTTTACAGTTCATGAATGAAGACCTACAAATCAAATGATTTGCCTCAAAATGTCACTGCATTTAAAGAATTTTCAGAGAGCCTAAAACAAAAATTCACTAGCTTGTCGGTGATGATTTGTATTGAAAAAGGTTTGGAGAAGAGAAATAAAGGTAGGTATATAGAAAAAATATCGACTTTTTACTCATCTCTGGACATTTCGGGAACGAATCTGCTCCCGTTTTCAACATAAAAAGTGGATTTTTGTAAGGCAAATTAGTATTTTTCCTGAAACTTCTCAGAATGAACTATTAGTCTTGAAAGAAATTTGAAATTGGTTGATTCAATCCAAAGTTATGACGGTTCGAAATGTTCGAAATTTTTATTTGTCTCACTTTGAATGTGGGGCGGTTTTGAAAATGAAGTGACTTTTTTGCAATTTTAGTTTGAGCAGCTAATAAAAGATGAGGATGCAAGACTGGAGAATTTGAAGGCGATTTTGAAAATTAGGGAACAAGTTCTCTTAGATCGGACCAAAGGAGAACTTGCTTGGTTGGAAATACAGAGAAAGTAGGTAGTCAAAAATTTTAGTTAATTCCAAAGAATTCAGGATAATATTTGTGTTCCAGACATTTCAAAGAAACAGGGCAGTTGCATGAGGCTTCTGTGATCAAGAAAAAACAAAGAGGTATACTTGTAAATCACCAAAAAGAAAAGCATGAGATGCAAAGGTGAGATAACTAATGAAAATTTCAATTCTATTTCGTAAATGTTTGTTGTCGCTGACCAACATTAATATGGAATCTTTCCTATCATCTAATTTTGAAACTCGAAATTTTTGCGAAATTGGTATTTCTCCAAGTTCTGAACAGTGTAGATGAAAAGATCATGATATTTTATTATTTATTTACCACAAAATTCCAGATACATCCAGTTTTATAAATATTAATTTGACATAGACTACCTGATGTTTTTTATCTTATCTAGTTGCATAATACAATTAAATTGCTATCACGAGTACCCCATCAAAACAAACACTCCAATAATAACTTTGATTCTCTTTGTTTCTCTTCAACACTTTCATTGAATCAAATCAAGTTTGTGCAAAATTCAAAACAAAACATGTGTGTCATGAGCTATTCCACGGGAAGGATGATAAGTTCAAACATTTTAGTTCACTAAACTACATTCTTGTCGATATCAGTTAGCTTAAGCCGGAATTTCATGCAGGTATGCATATTATACAAAAATGAAAACAACCATCTCAGTATGTATTTTGTACTTAAATGATTATATCATTTTTTATTTTATTGATTTTTATTAGAGAAGTCTATCAAATCCTTGGAAAGATAACGATGTGATGTTGTCTTTATGTGAAATCTTTTTTTTATTGTTTTTCTAAAGTAACTGACTTCCTGACTCTATCGAAAATACAATGATCAAGTTATAAACATCAGCAGATATTTGCCTAATACGAAAAATAAATCCAATATATTTTCTCAAATTGTTCGGTTCGATAATTTCACAATATTTTTATTGTAGGATGAAACAAATGCAAAAGGCAGCTTCAGTGGAACGTAAAATAGTTCTGAAAGAACAGAGGAACATGATAAGACAGCAGCTGTCAACTGACAACATGCTAAAAAAGATGAAAGTCAACACTCCCCGTGAAAGGCGACAGTCTGGCCCCCTCAAAGTAAACATTTTTAGAAAAAGTCTTTTCTTTTTTATCAAAATCTTTAAATTCTTAAGGTGATCCAGAGACACACCGAATCCATTCGATCGGAGACCTCCGTATCGAAAAGGAGTTCCAAGGATCAAGACAGAGGTCAGGAAGTTTTGAGCATAAAGTCGCAACTTTCGTCTGTGAGCAGGCTATCAGAAATATCCGGAACCGAATTGTCGATAAAAGAAATTATGTCTGATGCCGATTCTACCCACCAACTATCACATGTGAAAAGGTAAAATTCGGTACAGGGTTGGTTTCCTCAAAGTAAAACCAGCATTCGAACTTACAACCCATTCTGAAACTGGCCTTTGTCATTTCCCATTATATAGGAGAGAAAATTCAAATTAACGAATGAAAATTATTAAATAAGACATTAAACCTTCAGAAATTTAACCTAAAAATGACGCTAGGTCACAGCGCTAGGTACTGTATGTGAAATGATCTCCAAATTCTCTCTTGTGACAATGTTAGTATTGTTTACTTATCATGTAAAATCTTCACTTTTATTTTCCGTAGTTTCAAGCGAGGCTTTCCGACGAGATATTTTATGAACATACATTTGGCAGGTACTGTATATAGGTTGTATATTATTCTCATACCATTATGTTTCTCATATGTTAAATGAGATTTTTCCTTTTATAAATACAGTGTCATGCCGGAATTTCATTTTTTGTCTCTTCACATCGACTTTGACTTATGTCAACGTCTTGTCTACGTCATTATTTGACATTATTTTCAGTGTTTTCTATCCCCATCAGTTTAGATTTAAATACGTGCTGGGTGTTTGCCCCTTCAATTTTATTGATATTTTCTTTTAGTAGCGCTTTCATAAGGGCAACCTCTTTTTTAAAAACCCATTAATTTATGGTGTTGTCAAAAAAACAAAACCTTTTGGCAATTACCCTTCATATTCCGTTTTGGTATATGAAATTTCGATAAGATGAATGAAGCGCTCTCAGAGAACCCGTTTCTTCATTTATAAACTCGATTTTTCGACTATGGACATTGGCAACAATTCCACAACTAGTAGCATCAAAATTTGTCAACTCCAAATAATTCAAGAACGAATTATGTAATTCTTTCACATCAATCTTTTTGTATTGTAGAACTTTCAATTAGGCTGAAGATGGCCTTTTATAGGACCGAAACATGTCCCTTCTGATTGAGTAACAACACCATTAAAATTTGTGGAGATGACTTAGAGCATAGAAAGTTGATTAAATTAGACAAGAGATGCGTAATTTGAACTATTGTTTTTCTTATGGGATAAAAATTTCCTTCACAGCCATGTATAACATATTTCTATTTTCACATGAAATAGTGCCTACACAAAGTTTCAATGTGGTTCCTCTAATATTCACCAAGACAATAAATAAAAAGGAAATAAGTCATTTTCAGTTTATTTTAATATTTCAGGAACGGCTGACATTTTTTCTATATCCTGACCGTTTAGGAAATAGCAATACTGTCCTTATTAAATCGGCGGGACCCCGTATATTTTGATAACTATCCTGAGAATAATAATCCTTCATGCAGAAGGAATTAATTACTTGTCCACAAGATAAAACTATTAATTATTCGATACTCAACACTGTTAATCATTGAAAAGCTCAGATAAAAATAAACAATTGAAATTATGTTGAAGGCTACCTATCCAAGGAAGCAATAATTTTGCGATACCCTTAACTTTTGAACATTAGTTTATTTTCATGGACAATTTTTCACGCATAATTGCCTCTTCAATTATTTCAGTCATTAAAAACCATTGATTATTTTTTGCGTTGATGGTGGCTCCGTTTTGTAGCCTGTTTATTTAAAAATCGACTCCTAAATCTTCATTTATTTTTATGCTGATGCCGAAAATTTGTCCACAACTAATTTCGAAATTAATCCTCTAGAATTGGTGACATGCCAGCTCTGTTATTTTATCTTCATTCACAACTGGACATTGTCCTAATATGTTTGAATTAAATGACTCATTATCAATTAAAATCGGTTTATTCCTAGTAGAATGAGATGAACTTGCTTCGTTAGTTAGTTACGCCCGGTAAGTGTATCAACAAAGACGCATTTAAAAATAACTTCTTAATTATGGTGGTTAAAGTTGTTATTATGAAATGATTAAAAACAAACCGCCTAATATTAGATATCCTGTTGGACGATATCCAAAATTCTGTTTTCTGCTAGGAAACTTCCTACAGAAAGGAAATACATGTATCTTTGCTCACATGACATTACATTTGTCTCCGCGAATAAACAATAAATAAACTATATGGTGTGCCAATAACCAAAGACAAACCCATTATTTCCGTTCAGAAATATCCACATTATGTGATCTGTTTGTTTTAGGACTCTGCTGATGCGAGAGACAGCTCTGAAAAAACGCAAAAAGACGGCGGAAGACCTCTTGCAATGGCACGAAAAACTACTAGAAGAAGAAAAGAGAATCGCCGAACTAGAATCGACAGCGAGCACCATCATTTCACAAAAACCTAGTGCTTCAAGCCTAGGGGAAAAATACAGGTTCAAAGGAAAACAATTGAACCAGCTATGGTACAATTTGACGGGCTGTGAAAGCAAAAAGTTCTTGGAAGAAAAAATTTATCCGATGTCGCAAATGGCCTTGGAAAGATTTTGTAAAAACGCTAGAGACTATTCCACAAAATCCACTAAACTCGTCGACAAAACTAGTGATACTGAAGCTAAAAACAGTGTTGAAGAAACAGAAGCAAGTAGTGTTAAAACAGAGTCTATCAGAAATGAATATCCCTCAGATTTTGACGTGGAATCTGTGCTTAGCAATGAAGAAGTTGAAATTGTGGATCAGAGTATCAGCCAGCTGATCACAAATTTCAGCAAAATCAAAGAGGACATCTCTGCTCTAGGTAGCAAACAGTCGAAAAAATCTGACGAGGACATCGATGAAAGTTTAAATTTTGATAAAACTGATTCTGAAATCGAAATTTCCGTCATTGAAACCAATAAGGATACTTTGGAGAAAAATAAATCACAGGAAACTGGAAGCCAATTGATTCCATCCATAAACACAGAAGAAAACTCCTCGAAAGTATTCACAAATCCAGAACAGAATACAAAGACAGAAATCGCTACAATTTCTCCAGATAAAACATCACACATTGAAGAAGATTCCATCAACATCCAAAACTCTGTGGTTGAAAATTTGAATGATTCCAAAGAAATCCTCTTGATGCTAGGTCATTCTGAAGTACAAAATGGCACTAGCATTTCAGAAGACATTTTGTCAAAATTGAATCAAGTAATCAATGATTCTGAGCCCAAAACCTCTCATATTGAATCACACTTGTCTTCATCGGAAAAAGAGGAACTCAGCAGAGAAGTCAGGAACAGCCTGAGCACCACCGAGAATATACTGTCGAAATTGAGCCAAGTTATCAGCGAGGTTCAAGAGAAAAGATCCTCCGAAGCTTTAACGAATTTGTCTACTGAAGAAAAGAAAAAAGAAATCGGAAGTGATGAAGAGAAAAAAGGGACACATTCCGCGGACATTTCTGAAGAAAAATCTCGACGTGCAAGTTTGTCTGCTGAAGAAATAGAAACCAATGCTGTAGAAAGCGGATCATCCAAATTTATAAGCCTAGTTGAAAAAACTGAAGAAGATATAATTATTGTCCCTGAAGATTTTGCAGATATCGCTGAAAAAATATCATCCAAAGAGACACATTTCTCATCAGAAGAAAATGAAAAAGAGATTTCCACTGCTAAAGATTCTGCAGATACCTCTACAAAAATATCACCGAAAGTTACAAGTATCTTTTCAGAAGAAAATGAGAAAGAAATTCCTACTACTCAAGATTCTGCAGATACCTCTGAAAAAATATCCAAAGTAACAAGTATATTATCAGAAGAAGGTGAAAAAAAAATTCCTACTACTAAAGATTCTGCAGAAACCTCTGAAGAAATATCCAATGTTTCAAGTATATCAGAAGAAAATGAAAAAGATATTCCTACTGCTAAAGTTTCTGCAGAAACCTCTGACAGAGTATCATCTAAACACACAAATTTGTCTTCCAAAGAAGAAGAAAAAGAAGCATCCAAAGTTGCAAGTTTGTTTTCAGAAGACAATGAAAGATATGTTCAAATTGCAGAGGATTCTGCAGATATTTCTGAGGAGATAGCATCTAAACACCCAAGTTTGTCATCTAAAGAAAAATATGACAATACTGGTGAGAAGACTGAAGAAAAAAGATCATCCATGGTAACAAGTTCGTTACCAGAAGAAAATGAAACTAGAATTGATACTGCTAAAGATTCTGCAAGTGTATGTTTGCCTTCAAAAAAAGAACGAGATTCTACAAAAATTTGCGATATTTCGGAAAATCAAACTATTTCCCCTGACGATGAAGATCTTGATGAAACTGAAAACACTTCTAGTGAATCTTTAGAACAGCTTCTGAAAATCAGTGAAACAGCAGAAGTTGATAGGTTTGAGGAGAAAGTGTCTTTCATTGTTGACGTCAGTCCCAATTCTTCAGCTTCTCAAGAAAAGATTGAAGAAAGTGTAGATAAAACATCTGTAGAAGTGGAAGCTGCAGAAAAATACTCTTCTGATGAGAGCTTGAAAGAAACAAACATAGATGAAGACCTTCCAGTTGATACAGAGCCCAAAACAGATCAGTTGAGCTCTGTGAAAGATATGGAAATACATGAAGGATTGAGAGATACTTCTCCAAGAAGTGAAGAAATGCAGTCATCTACTGAACCTGATATATCCGAAACTCACCTGGATTTGAGCTACGGATTCATTGATAGGGCTGAGAAAACCGTTAGCAATGAATCTGAACCTCATGTGTCCAAAGAGGACGTCAATATATATGAAGAAAAAGAACAAGACTCCCTTTCATCTTCCACTACCACCACCAGTTCTTCGGACAAATTGGGTCAGATAGATAGGGAGGATCAAGATAAATCTGTGGCTTCTGAAAAATCGAGTAGTTCAGAAGAAAAATCTCCAAAGAGCGGATCGGTTGACGTAAAGAAGAGGGTGTCCGAGATTCTGGCAGACGCTAACCAAAACTCAAGGGGGGACAAGAGCCCTAGGATGCAGGATTTGTATGTCACTACCTATGATCTTATATCGCCTGCTAACTCTCCAGAAGCTGGTAATTATTTCATCCATATTTTATAGCACAAAGTTTGTTAAAAAAACAGATTATTGAACATTCAAACATACACACATACACAGCCGGAATGATGATTATACAGGGTGTAAACAAATAAGTGTCACAACGGAAAACTGTAGATTCCTCTTGAAAAAAGAAATTTGTTTTTTCCTTTTCGAAATTTTTCTCCGGGCTTCCGTTTTCAAGATACAGGGCGTCAAAAAAATACAAACAAATCTGTTTTTTGCTACTATCTTAGGAACCGTTTGTGCTACGGAGTTGTGCCTTCGTACACACTTCATCATCAATAATGACTACTTTTAGGGCTCTCGATCTTTTTCCTTGAACATGTCAGTGGATGAGAATTCAACGCCTCGTAAGGGTTTAACCCCCCAAACATTTATGCCACTGAAGAAATTGTAACTTTCAAAGTAGATTCTGAAGCGCTTATACCTTTCACACAAAAAACGTCCTCTTGTCTCAATGCTCTGAAGTGAACAGTTGCCGCGAATAATTGCTGGTTATCAAATTGTTGAGTTCATTAAGTGTTGTGATGTGTGTTTAATTAAACTGAACATTTTTTATTTTTGACGCCCTGTATCTTGAAAACGGAAGCCTGGAGAAAAATTTTGAAGAGGAAAGAAATGTTTCTTTTATTATGAGGAATCTGAAGTTTTCCGTTGTGACACTCATTTGTTAACACCCTGTATATAGTGAAGTAACTCAGATTATTGTTTAGGAAAAGATCACATTTAGAAAAAGCGAATATCTTCTGAAGGGGTAGGAATAAAAAATCCATTGAAATTCAGGAAATCCAAAAATTCACATGATTGGGTGAGAATAACGAAAAAAATATTGCAAACATCCCCCTACAATCTCACTCAATCAGTAGCTTCTCTATTCAGAATCAAAATACCTAGTGAATTTGCTATTTTTTAAATAATTGTTCCCATTAGAGTCCAGATTAGCAATATAGGTAATTTTTATTCCAGGTTCACCCACTAATGAAAGGAAATTCATTAACAGCATTTTCGGTAATGAAGCTGAGGAAATTTTGAGGAAACAACTCGCCATTGAACAGGAGGTAGGATTTTTTTTGAAATAATTCAAATATTTCATTAACTCTGAGTATCCTTGTTGCATAGGAGGTGATATAGTTATTAACATTACAAGGCCGACATGTACAAATATTGTAATCCGAGGCGCAGCCGAGGATATTAACAACCGAATTCGTTATTAGCGTATCGGCCGTGTGTCGTTCAAGACTTTCCGTAATACTGCTGAAAGTTTACATTTTTGACAAAAAAATACCAACATGGTGTTTTTTTTACTTGATTCTTTGGGACAGCATGGTGTTTTTATGGAATTAACGGTTCTGCCGCCGGCCGGACGGAGGCTGTTAACATTAACTTTTCAATTGTCATCTGAATACCTTTGAATTAAAATAGCATCAAGTATGAGATTACGAAAAAACATATAACATGTCAATAGAAATTTGAAATTTTGCAGCTGACAACTTTCTGTAGTTTGAAAGGAATTAAAAGTAAGAAGATGCAAAGTTTCGAAGTAACTCATAAGTTGCGATAATTGAAAATAACTTATTGCTTTCGGAATAGTTACTGCTAGTCATAGGCTGCAAATATCAAATCAATTACGGGAAGTAATTCTTCTCAATTTTATTTGCATATCCAAATCAGTCCTTTATAATTCAACTTTGAACAACAACTTTTTTTTAATTGAGAAACCCAATTGTGGAAAGGTACAGTAAATACTTTCATTTCTAGATCAAAGCAATCACAGAACAACAGCAGAAAGAACAACGAATCCCTCAAGTGTACGTCAGAGAAATACCAAACAAACCACCTCCACCATACACCCCACCTTCTTCCCTACCCCCCGTGAACTACCCCACAATCGTCCCTACCGTCCAAGAAATAGAAGAAATCACCAAGTACTCCGCGAAAATTCTGCACAAAGCCTACGTTTCGAGAAACCTAGAAAACATCAGTATATCCGAGAACACCCTAAGCCTGATCTCGAAGAACGTCACCAAAGAGTGCTACAAGTTCGTTTTCGATTTGTGCAAGGACATTTCCAGGGAGCACTACAAGCAATTCAAGGAGGAAAAGTGCCCCTCCTGGCTGGTCCCCAATAAAAAGCCTCAGCTCACTGTGATAAAGCCTCTGGACGTGAATGGACTTGAAGCGCTGATGAACAAGAAACTCAAAGAGCTGTTTTCGTACGAGAAACCGAACAAGAGAGAAAACACGATAATTAAGTGGAGCAGGAAGAAACGAGACCACGTCGACGAAATTCTGGTGATGGAGTCTCAAGCAGAGGAAGTCCAATGGACGAATTACGATCAGGAAGAGTTGGTCGTGATGGACCAGGTTACGAATGAGATTATGAATATGTTGCTCAAAGATACGGGCGAAGCGATGCGAGCCTGTTTTGAAATCGGTTGAAATGAAAAGTAGTGAAAAGACATTTTAAAAATGGTATACTCAAATAAGACAAGCTCGTTATTGTTTCTTTTAAACAGCACCTCTGATAAGTGCCTTATTTTAGTTATTTATTTTTCTAGTACTACAGTTTGTTATAGTATTATTTTTGACTGCCATATTGTATTTTTATTGAAAATAAAAGAATTTTCTGAATTTTTACTTGGTTGTTTTACTTTTTTTCCAGTTTGGATGCCAGAACATTGTCTTTGTTCAAAGTTTCTACAACACCTTTTAGTCTAATTTACTGAGAAATATAAAAAACTTGTTTCGATAAAACTAAGATGGCTACATCTTAGATAAAACCGTTACGGATCTTCTGCTTTTACCGAACACAGTAAGTACGCAATAGGCTAGTGCCTTTACACGCCGCTACTATACTGGCTTATCATCTTATTATTAAAGAGAAGAATGAGAACATAACCTTATCTGTTTTTCTGGCAAGAAAACCTCAAGATAATTCAAACACCGTAAAATTTTGAAATAAAAACAGAAATGGGTAAAAACAAAAAGGACAAGAAAAAAGGGAAAGGTGCCGAGAAAACATTGGCGAAGACTGAAAAGAAAATCTCGAACAAACTCAAGAAAGAACTACAATTGAAGGGAGAAGTTAGTGAAAATCCACTATTGTAATACAGTGTGTCAATGAAATTCAACTGTTTGTAGGATGATATAGAGAACATTGTGGCACAAATAGAGAAGGAAGAAAAGCAGAGGCTACAAGTAACTGAAACGCAAGTGGAACCACCTTCCAGAAGGCTCAACTTCAGCTTTGTTGCTCATCCTGATAAGGAACAGTTGATCTTATATGGTGGAGAATTCTTCAATGGCCAAAAGGTAAGTGTCCAACAAAATGCATGCCAAATTGAGCATTATGCTGGGTTTATATATTCAACTAAACTAGAATTAAATTAACAACTATGAAGGTTATTTCGCACTTCTTCTTTTTTTCTGCCTGTTATGGCATTCAGAACAATTTGCCCTTCTTTTTTCATCATTGGACAATTTGTATAACATGATCACCAAACATGATGTACTTCAATGCAATGACACTTTTTTTATAGAATCATCTAAAATAATGGCATGTGTAATGTCATCATAATTCAAAAGCAATCTATGACATTTTATATCTGGTATTTGGATAAATAAATTCAAATATAAAAAAACTTACCATGAAAATTATATTTATATTGAATTTTCTATATAAAAATGTGTCATTGAAGTACCTACATCATGAGTATATAAAGTGTACAATGACAAAATAAGAAGAGCAAGTAGCCGTAAATGCATCCAAGACAGGGGAAATATCCAAATATCTGATAAATTTACATTTTACATTTACATAGGTGTAAAAAAACATTGCATGATAAATGCAAAATTACCACTATGAATTTAATAAGTTGAATACAAGGAAACATCTATTAGGGTTTATACATCATTCACATCTGTCATTTAAATTAAGAATTATAAGAGCGGGTTTATACAGGAAATAAGATAAGATAAGAATTAGAATAAAATAAAATAAGGAATAAGGATATTAGTGTACCGTTCATACAGATAAATAAAATAAAATGAGAATAAACCAATCATTGTGCAGTATTTTGTCAATCGTCAATGTCAACTTCAGTTGGGAGTTAGAATTTGTTTTTTTGTGCAGACCGGTGAACGGCGAAGATCTTATCCACTTCATCAAACATTTTATTAATGTGTTTTGAATGCTTCAATTTGAAATACAATATACAACCATCAGCGTGGGCGTGTCCGATTGAAATTGCACATGCGCACATCGATTTTCGAATAAAATAAAATAAAAAGTTAAAAGTAGGTCAACTCTTATTTTATTCCTTATTTCTTATTTTATCTTAGTTCATGTATAAACGTTTCCATTATAATACATATGTTGAACTTTCTTATCTTATTCCTTATTTTATCTTATTAACAAAGTTAACAAACTTTCAACTTAAGAGGAGAGATTCAACCAAATCGACATGCGGGCCTGCACTAGTTGTTGCTATTTGGGCTTATGAATGATTCAATTAAAAAACTGATTAAATCATCGTAAAGAAGAAGGTTGGGACTAGGGCCTGGTTATCATACGGAGTCGAAACTCATTTATTTATAGAAGATACAGATTTTTGAAAAACGTAAACATTGAAATTTTTTTGTCTCAAATTGAAATATTTTCGATCTCAGTACAATTGTTGGAAATTCGGCGAGGTGTCACTGAAATATCAGCTCTTGAAATGGTTCCATTCGAACAGGAAGCAACAAAAACGATTATTCTGTCAACAAAATATCCATTCATCCCAGCTGATCTCGGTAAACTCCATTTCTTGAAAGAATATAATGCAGGAAACTAGGATGTGGTAGTTCAGGCACTACCTGATAGATGGCAGTGTTCGAAATGACAGACTGCGGCAGAGAGGAATGGTGCATTGTATTGCAAGCAGATGGCGCTTAGGAGAGATGATGAATTCAAACCCGTTTACACCGTTGCCAATGTTATACATATTACTCGGACATATTATGAAATCTAGGCGACGTGATAATACAGAGGGTATTATTCAATTATCTGGGCATATTTCAAGGGGAGGTTCTCTGAGTGTTTGTAAGACGAACAAATCTAATATATAAAACTCTCCTGTCACGGTCACGGTCATAGTGGTCGAACTCCTCCGAAACGGCTCGACCGATTCGTATGAAATTTTTTGTGCGTATTCGGTAGGCATGAGAATCGGTCGTAATCTATTTTTTAAATAGAAAATACAAAATGGCGGATCCAATATGGCGACCGAGTATAGTTATCCGATTTCATTCAAAATTGGTACTCAGGGGTTTTCGGGGTCGGAGAGATTATGAATATTTCGTCAAATTTTGGAAATTCAAGATGGCGGATCCAATATGGCGGACGAGCTTTGTAATTATGGTCAGATTCCATCCAAAATTGGTATCTGGGGGTTTTCGAGGTCGGAGATTATGATTTCTTCATCGAAATAAGGAAATTCAAAATGGTGGATCCAATATGGCGGACGAGTTTTGTAATTATTTTTTTATCGCTTGGAGCGCACGAAAGGAAATCCCTATAATGTTCAAAGAACATCGTGCGTTCCTAGGGAGGAAAGGGACAGGAGGTAGGTATTGGAGTTTTTTTTTGAACTTCTGGAGATTATTTGTTGTTGGGAATACTTCCTCGGGCACTGAATTCCAGAGCCTATAGCCGTTCTATGGATGAAGGAGTTTTGATAAGGTGCTGTTCGACATCTTTCGAGGTGGACAACGAGAGGATGTGCTGACTGGGCTTGTCTACTTCGTCTGACTGGTATTGCTAGTGGAGGGATGATAGCCATTTCCCGTGGAAGTATCGATAGAAAAGTGAAAGGTCGCCGACCTTTCTACGGTGTTCCAATGATGTCAAAGAGTGAGTGAGTGTGGCGTCACCCACCAGGCGAATGGCTCTTCTCTGGATGGAATCTAAGAGCATCAGCCTATGTTTTGGTGCTGAACAGAACAGAATGGTCAGATATCATTCAAAATTGGTATCTGGGGGTTTTCGAGGTCAGGGATTATGATTTTTTATCAAAATTAGGAAATTCGAAATGGCGGATCCAATATGGCAGACGAGTTTTGTAATTATGGTCAGATTCTATTCAAAATTGGTATCTGGAGGTTTTAGAGGTCGTAGATAATTATGAATCATTTGTCAAAATGGGGAAATTCAAAATGGTGGATCCAATATGGTGGAAGAGTTTTTTAATTATTATGATCAGATTCTATGTAAAATTGGTATCGGGGGGTTTTCGGAGTCGAAAATAATGGTCCTTTTATCAAAATTTGGAAATCCAAGATGGCAGATTCAATATGGCTGACGAGTTTTGTAACTCAATCCAATTCCATTCCAAATTTGTATATGGGGGATTTTGGGATGGGAGATTATGATTGTTCATCAAAATAAGGAAATTGAAGATGGAGGATGGCAACTGAGTTCTGTAGTTATGATCCGATTCTATTCAAAATTTGTATCTGGGTGTTTTCGGGGTCGGAGAAGAATTAGAAAACAAATGAATAAAAGTATGTTGATAAATATTTAACTAAAAAAATATTTTCTGGAAATAATTGTATATAGCAGAACAACGTTTGCCGGGTATCAGCTATTGTAATAAATATTAGTTTGAAAAACTAATGAAACACCTTTTTATAGATAGCCGTACTAAAAAGAAGTGAGTAGAAAATAAAGAGTAGTTTGAAAAAATGAAGAGGTATAGAGAACCGAACTAAAAAGAACTAGAAAATAAATAGAGTAGTTTGAAACGGCATAGATTTTGTCACTGAATTATAATTATATAAGTAGCTAGACCTGAAAATTTAAACATACAAATTCAGCAGAATTTCTTCAATTCTATTCATGAGATCGATAATTATGTCAGCATATAGATGGAAATAATAGGAATGGCACAGTTGTGGAACAAACTTCAAAAAGCTTTGTTAATCTGTGTCAAAAGTTCAGGTTATTTCACTCTAAAACTCATGCAAAAAAATTCGTCTCAGAGTACAGTTATCAGATTTTGGATCCATTGATATGGCGATGTTCACAAAGGATAATACCGCCACGGCAACAAAACAAAACTGAGCGAGAAATCGTTATATGTCTCTCTCCCTCCCGCGGCGAACCGGGGGGATATTCATTGGTCGCGCGGTGATTCCCCGTCTTTCCGCAGTCGCCACGTGCCACTTTGAATTGCATGAACTTCAGATGAACTTCAAACTAACCGGGATATAATCAATAATTGAAAAACCAGTGTTGCAAGCTGCTGCAAATGATATGTCGCAAAAATTCATAAGAATGGGCAGAAAGGCGAGGCAACGGGAAAGTCAGCCACATACGAAATATTTGAAAATATAGCAGCCGCTTTTTTTTCGAGACATTTGGAGACGTTATCGAACATCCAGTTCATGTTTTAGAGAATTATCGTAGGTAGATACTTCATATTCCACTTACATCTTCTTTGGGGAAGATTTTTGAAATTCAATGAATTCCGTGATATTAAAATTTTCTTTGAAATATATACAGGGTTATTCATTCAAAATGGTCAATGTGTGAGCTAGAAATAAGAACATAAGAATATGAAGATTCAGCCTCACATCTCACAGAGAAAATGCTGTTAGTTTTGGAGAAACAGGGTGTACAAGGAAAATATTTTATTTTGAAATTCCTCATACAATAACTTTGTAAGTTTTAAATCAGCATGAAAATGGTCAATGTGTGAGCTAGAAATAGTAAACATCAGAATATCAAGATGCAGCATCACATCTCTCATAGAAAATGTTGTTAGTTTTGGAGAAACAGAGGTTGTTCAAGGAAAATATTTCATTTTAAAATTCCTCATACAATAATTTTGTGAGTTTTATATCAGCATGAACATAATTTTCTTATATTTTTTTCATTATAATTCGATTTTCGAATGATTTAAAAAAAGTTGACCATTAAAACAAAATGGATTGTGAGATATAGAAAGCATATGATGGCAAATCAATTTCTCACCGTTATGTTGAAGACCGAAACCAGGGAATCCTGGAAACTTTGGTACGATATAATCACACTCACACTATACACTGTTTTATTACTATCAAACAGAATTTTTATCAACTCGACAAACTTTATTACCTAAAAACATTCGCTGTCTAAGATAGACTAACAAAAACTTTTGAGATGGTGTTCGCTTGAATCTCCTAATTTTGACAAATGATTCAAAATCTCCGACCCCTGAAACACCAGTAAAAATTTTGAATAGAATCGGATAATAAAATTAGAAAACTTGTCCGCTATATTGGATCTGCAATCCTGAATTTCCCAATTTTGACGATAGAATCATAATCTCCGACCCCAAACACCCCTATATATAAATTTTGAATAGGTTAGAATCATCATCACATAACTCGTCCGCCATATTGAATCCGTCATCTTGAATTTTTCATTTCGGGATTCATAATCTCCGACCCCAAAAAACCCCAGATACAAATTTCAAATGGCATAGAATCATAATGACGAAACTCGTGCGCCATGGTGGTGGAGCCATGATGAAAGAATCATAATCTCCGACGCCGAGACCCCGCCGAGACACCAATTTTGAATAGAATTGGATCATAATTATTATAAAACTCGTCAGCCATCTTCAATGTCCTAATTTTCACGAAAGAATCATAATCTCCGACCCCGAAAACTTCCATATACCAATTTAGAATAGAATCTAATCATAATTACAAAATACTACATAATATGAGATGAGATGCGATACTGCACCCTTCAAATTTATTGCTATTCATTGACCTCGCGATAACGGGACACGAGACGGGTCGTGACGATGACGCGAAATCCAATGTTTTTCTCCACCCAAAAAAGTGCTCAACGCGCCTAGAAGTTCTCACTTCGAAAAAATTGTTTTTTTCATAAGTGCAATTATGATCGAAATTTGTATTTCAGCAAGCAGGTCTGAATTAGAGAACATGAAATTTGAATCAAGGATTTCTTTCATTCTACCATTACACACTGTATATATCAATATAACTCTTATATCAGTAATAGCAGTGTGAATTCGTAAGAATGAAGATATTTGAAACTAGGCAATCGTCTACGTATATACCCTATACAGAAAACACGAAATTTCTATTTATAGCCATCTGAACTTGATAAAAAATCTTGCACACATTATTTCTGAATTACACAGACTATTTTGCCCTGAACAATGATTTCGATCCCCATCCTTGGAAGTTTTTCTGGTGACGCCAATAATGATAAGTTATATTAGTAGGAAATGAAATTAAAAAGGAAAAGAAATATTCGAAAGACTACTTGTGAAGACAGTTTCAAAAATCACTCATGACATAAATTTTCATTGTAGCGAGTAGCGAGAATTTGCTTGACTTGAATGGAGTGAAAAGTGGAATCATGTTCAGCAGGCCCGTGGAGCAGTAGCTCTGGCAACACTGCACGTACATAATACAATTACCTACGATTGCATCAAGGTTGGTAGAACTGATGACTATTATAATCAGTTCTACCAACCTTGGATTGCATTCAATTGTGTGCCACCTATTGGTGACCTGCTGTAACAGACGAAATCGAAGAACTCTACAATAGCTGTGAAAGCTGTAATTTAATTATTTTATTCCGATTTCGACATCACACTGACACCTGGAAATAGTTGTTGAACTAGTATATATATATAGGCTATATTGGGTCGGAAAGCTGTCGCGAAAGGCCCGCCTTAACAACTAGGAATCAGGAAATTCTGGCGGCAGAACATGAAGATTGGATTTGTTATTGTTCAAATGGAGATTGGTAATATTTATTTGGACTATTTTTTATGGATTCATGAATTGTGGAGACCAAAATCACTTTTTAACAACATTTTGATCTGCAATCAAAAGAATGTAATCTCTTATGAGGGGCAGATCATGATCCCCAGTTTGCCATTTCTGGACCCATGTTCATATGAAGTTTAATCACTATTTTTGTGCCTATACAGAATCTGCAGTTGGAATATTTATATGTAATTTCGGGGCTCCCTGTATAATTCGGGTACTAATAATTGCTCCTCAGTCTCCCCTGAAAAAATCGCGCCAATCCTCAAGATCCATCTTTGCAGACGTTCGTCTACAACGATCTGTTCGTCTACAACATCCCCACCGACACCTGGACCGTACTGAAGGCCCCAGGGGGCCCGGCGCCCAGATGCGGCCACCAAATGATCGCCACCGCGGCCAACAAGGGCCAGCTGTGGGTGTTCGGAGGCGAATTCGCTTCGCCTACCCAGTCCCAGTTCTACCACTACCGGGACCTGTGGGTGTTCCACATGGCGACCAAACAGTGGGAGAAAGTTCCGGCCCCTAACGGTCTGTAAACGATGTCTTTGATAAGTATAATTGACCTATCTTGATTACTGATTTATTTACCTGAAATTCCGGCCCCTAAATACTGCGACACAATTGAAGTATTATGCAATAATATATGTAACAAAAATAAAAGCAGGATGCAAAACAGAAGTGAAATATGAAAGCTGGAATTTCGCCAATAAGGTTGTTTGAGAACGTTCATTTAGGCCTAGTGAGGTTAGATTGTTTAAAAAAAGTAGTATCATTTCAAAGATATGACCATTCCTCACGATTCTGTTTAGAGATGGATAGGTTTTAAAAAATTATATACTTTATAGGAAGAAGGTTCATTAAGGCCGAGTAAGGTTAGATTATTTAGAAACAGTAGTCTCCTTCCAAAAAATAGTCTCCTTTTTAAGATATGATCCTTCCTCACGATTTTGTCAACAAGTTTAATCCGCACGCAATCGGCCCATAATACCAAAGGTAACTCACACTCAATTGTCCAATTCATTCTCTACTACCTGACAAATTTTTTGACCGCTGCGCTCTCCGTTCCCTCAGAAAAATGTCTGCGGTCCTTTTTAGATTTGGACCCACGACCGGCATGCCATCTGGATTAGAATACTAAAGCTTCTACCACGCGGCTACCTGGCCTGGAAAGTGAAACTTTCAGAATAACAGAAGACCCTTACCAGTGTTCCGCATCACGTGACACATACCGATCAGGACAAAATTCTAACAGGAACTTCCACAAAATTGCCTAAAACATTACTTTTTGTGTGGATCGTGACTTTTGTATCCTCAGTGTATCATATGTGATAAAGTTGAACTTTAGCTCCTAGGAATTAAAAAGGATGTACTAGAAGTCATCAAGAATATACAACATTGTTACCGTTGGTTATTTGGGTTGAGACGCATACCCGATTTGTTTGCGATTTCGGCAGATTTGGCATTTCATACCCATGCTGGAGATATAGATACACCATATTATAGTCAAGTATTTTTGTTTTGATCAGGAAAGCCTTGAAGATTCACATACTTGCTTGATTTGTGTTTCATTTGTTATTCTCGGGATGGATAACTTGCTTTTGAATTATCACGGCCAGCAATACTTATTTCTCACACAACGATATTGTTTACATTCATTTGATTACCGAGCCAAACACTGGAGTATGGAGAGAAATAAATAATCGCCATCATTATTGTTGATATGCTCACTAACCGAACATTTTCCACGCATTTTCCCAATAGCTGGCACTGGCGCGGTATTTGCTATCAAGGCTGACATCTGGTCCATACACAAATGTTTCACTCTGTGGTTGTATTTATATTGAAACTACAATTCGAACATCCTTGAAAATTTAATGAACCTGATCTTTTAATGCAGGTAGAATATTCTCAACCTCATTCGGATCAAAAGTGAGTTTGTTTGACTCGCAAATGCAAAATTCTCTTGTCACTTTTGATCCTAATAAAACAATCTATTTTCAATTCCCTTCTTATTCAATATGTCTAGAATTATATCTAGGATTTGCTCGACTTTGGTAAACTGTGGAAGATACCGGGAGATGTAATTTGAATGAATATAGATTTGATTCGATATTGGAAAGAATGATGAAAACCTATTCAAACTAGCTTTCTTACAGGTCCCACAGCGAGGAGCGGTCACCGCATGGTATTCTTCAAAAAACAGCTGTTTGTATTCGGCGGGTTTCACGATAATCTCAGAGACTACAAGTACTTCAACGACGTCTATAGTTTCAATACTGAGACTTACAAGTGGACTAAAATTGAGGCTAGTGGGACTGCCCCTGCTCCCAGGTCAGGTTGTTGTATGGCAGCTTTGAATGACGGAAGGATATTCGTTTATGGCGGCTATAGCAAAGAGAGATTGAAGAAAGACGTGGACAAAGGACATGTCTATAATGACAGTTTCATTTTAACGCCAGATAGTGAGTTCACATATCCATAAATGTTGGCATCATTATATAAATTATCATTCTATTCCACCCTTCCTTCTATAATAACAGTAGCTTCAAATATAGTGTATGTCCAAAGTCCTTACCCTCCTAGTGATTTTTGAATCACTTGGTATAACGCAACGGAATTTGGAAGGCTCGAATAGGAGATGGAAAAGTACTTTTCATGGAAAACTATCAGCTTATTTTCAAAATGGCGTGTGACAACTATCTTGTACTATTTTTTTTAATGGAACACCCCACCCCGTATATTCAATTTTCGAAATATCCTCATAACTCATCAGTTTTATCCAATACACTTTACTTTTCGAAATATCAACATTTAAAAAGTGACATTTTCGCCATTGAAAAATATCTTTGTACGAATTCCGCAAAATGTATGCAAATAAAATGGCGACTGCGAATATCGCAATGGAGTTGAAGTATTTGAACTTTTTTACGAATTCGGATGGAATCATAACCACACAGTATGCATAAAAAGTGTTGCTATTTTGATAAAATCAAAATCCAGACGCAAAAAAGGAGCTGCCGAAAAATGTATAGATTAGATAGAGATTATTATTACAGCCTTGTTGGATAAATGCGACTGACCCTAATGAATATTTCAATTACTTCGTGTAACGTGCCTTCAATTTGATGAACTATTCTATCAATGGTGGGACCAGAAATAAAGAAATTGTATGTGACAACAGACCCCATCTGCAAATTTTGTCGCATGAGTATGAACGTCGAATTCTGTTGGGAATTTTATATTTTGCGATTCGCATAAATTTTGCGGAATTCGTACAAGCATGAACATACCTTAACATTTAGATTTTTTTTCAAAGCACACTTGATTGATAGAAACTTTTCAAACGTTAATATTCAGAAAACTCAAATTCAGAAGTGTAAAAAGTGTATTGGTTAATACTGTTAAGAATTATGAAGACATTTGGAAAATGGAATGGTATTTCCTTAATAAAATGATTCAAGATATGGTGCTCAGCTGTCATTATAAAACTTTAAGCTGTAATTTTTCCTAAAAAAGTAGGTTTTTATCTTCTAGTAGGGCTCTACAAATTTCGTTGCTTTATAGCAAGTGATTCAAAAATTAGTCAGATGGACAGTGTATACATGATGCTCATTATTGCAGAAAATGACACCACTGGTACAAAGTTCAAATGGTTACAAACGAAATTGGGGGGCATACACTTTTCCCCAAGATGTAGCATGCCTATAGTGGCAGCCCCTAATAATCTATCTGCATATTGCTATGGCGGCGTTTTCGATGTTGAAGAAGATGATGAAAACCTCGCTGGTAATTTCTTCAATGATTTTTATCAGATCGATTTGGAGAGATTAGTTTGGAACAATGTCTTGCTAAGTGGCAAAAAAGACAAAGAAAGCAAAGCAAGAAGAAGGAAAAACAAAGATGGAGATGATATAGGTGACTATAAATGAATTAAATCCCCTTGAATCTTAATTTCATCTGAGTTTTTTTCAATAGATGACGAAGAGGAAGAGGACCAAATGGACGTAGAAAAAACCAAGGAAAAAGTAGAACCCACTACAATATCAGATGATGGCATTTTCAAAGTCACTCTTGGACCAGCTCAGACTAATTCCATAACCAATATTACAAATACAGATACCACTGTTAAAACCTTCCAACCATCTCCAAGAATGAATTGTGGGTTAGCCATAAAACACGGCATTTTGTATCTATATGGAGGAATGTTTGAAGATGGCGACAAACAATTTACATTCAGTGATATGTACTCCCTGGATCTGAAAAAGTTGGACGAATGGAAAACTGTTATAGCTGATGATACTTCTGCCTTGGAATGGTTGGGATCAGAATCTGAGAGTGGTGAAGATAGTGAGGAAAGTGATAGTGATGAGGAGGATAGTGAAGAAGAAATGGATACTGAATAAATGAAATTTTATAGAAATTTTTAATATTTTTTTAATTCCTGGGTGGTCAATATAATATGGAAAATGTCCGAAGACTTCATTAAGATTTCACAATAGTCAATTTGTTATACAATCAATTAATCTTTGGTGATATGGTGAATTCATACACAACTCAACTTAGTCTCAACTTCAAAATGAGCAGAGATTATACAGAGTGTAGAATCTCATTCAGCGGTGCATGAATTTACCATCAATGGTTAAAGTGGACTTTCGAAATTCTTTTTGTTCTTACGTATTTTCGTTTGGAAAACACGAATTTCACAATGAAAATGTGAACAAACCGCTATTTATCGAGATATTTTACGAAAAAGTTCGAAATTTCACCTTCTTTTGCCACTTATCTTGGATATTCATTTACCAACTACTTGTCCTCTCGTCACTGGACACTCCATATACTCACATACCATTTACCAACTACTTGTCCTTCTTTCGTCACTGGACACTTCATATACTCACGTTTTTACTCCATTCACACAATGCATTTCCTAAAATCAACAATTGAAGTATGGATTATTTGGATTTTTTTTAAATATTTAGTGAGGTAAACAATAGTTTGGTTCCACGCAATTTTTTTCGACATTATTCTATATGAATATCCTAGATTGGTGGCAAGATAATGTGAAATTCCGAATTTCTCAATAAATAGCGGTTTGTTCACATTTTCATTGTGAAATTCGTGTTTTATACGGAAATACGTGTGTACCAAAAAATTTTTCGAAAAAAACCCACCGCATGATAAGTGCACTTTAACCATATTTTAACCAGGTTACGATGGAACACCATAACATATTGATGTGCAATTAATTCACCTAAACTTTTTAAAATTTCATTTGAACATTTGAATTCTTCCTAAAGCTTCCAGAATCAAAATGGCGTCGATTTAAAATCTCATCTCTTCTTCTTCTCTTCTCCATTTTGAACACAACCACTGGTCACCGAATGGAAATATGCCATGTGTCAACGTCAATTCCGTCAAAGTCAAAACTGTCAACTGTCATTTCTGGGTGGGCAACAAAACAAACCATTTAAAAATTTGTAATTTCAAGTTGAATGAAATATCTCGCAAAATGATATGAAAAATAGTTCAATAAGTCAAACAACCAACTGAATTGATTACTACACGTCAGTATACAATTCCTAAAAACGCAGGCACGCTGAAGAATCAGCAAAAATGAGCATCCGATCAACTCTATCATACACCTTCTCAGTCTTGGCCCTGCTAACCACAACAGTCCTGGTGCTGTACCACATCCTCACCGGCAAAGGGGAGCGAATCAGCGTGGGATGGTTCCTCCAGAACACCGCGCCCCACATGTGGTGCTGTTTGGGCATAGGCCTTTCTGTCTCTCTATCAATCGCAGGGGCTGCTGTGGGTATCCACACGACTGGCGTTAGCATCGTGGGCGGGGGAGTTAAAGCCCCCCGAATCAAAACCAAGAATCTGGTCTCGGTGATTTTCTGTGAAGCCGTGGCCATTTATGGCTTGATCACTGCCATTGTCTTGTGTGGGTACATGGAGAATTTCACTTATGAGATTGTTACTAAAGATGAGGAGCTGATGGGGAAGAATTGGCTAGCAGGTTTGTACTTCTCACATTTTTATTAATACATTCTAATTCCAAAGCTAACAAGACAAATTTGTATATTTGCAGGTTATACTATGTTTGGATCTGGGCTAGCAGTGGGAATGGTGAATCTCTTTTGTGGTATAGCTGTGGGTATTGTAGGTTCAGGTGCAGCTTTGGCAGATGCTGCTGATAGCTCTCTTTTCATCAAGATCTTGGTGATTGAGATTTTTGGGAGTGCTATTGGTCTTTTTGGTCTGATTGTGGGTATTTACATGATATCCAAAGTTCAGATGGGGGATATAATGCACTAAACCATTCAATCTATGACTAAACTGAATGTTCTTATCTAGTTTGAATTCATTTTCATTATTTGTGATAAAATTAGCATAGTCTGAGTGGAACTGAATGTTAGCTTTAATCAGAAATAGTATGTGTTATTTATTATTTAAATTTACCATTTTTATATATTCCATTTTTAAATATTTATTGACCAAATGATGCTCTACTAATGTGCAATGAATATCTGTTGTCAAATCAGTACATTCCTCAATGTAGTAGAAGCATGTATAGGTTATTGACTGTCATTAGAAGACAGCTATCATCATTTGTGATAAGGGGTTTTAGTCAAAACTGTAATCTCTGCCATTGATCTGAACAAATAAGTTGCATTTTAAGTTTGATTCACAACCTCTCTAGTATGACTGATTATGTCTAGTATTATTTTAGACCTGTTTTATTTTAGTTGTAAGATCAGTTGAACTTGGCTTTATTTTATTATTTTGAGAATCTTTGTTTAGTTATTATTGTGATTCACTATATGAATACTATAGTGTATATGAAATTCCTTCAATGTATTATTCCAAATATGAATCCCAAAAATATATCTCCATATCAAATATATTTATATTTTATTTCCCACCTCACCTCCTTTAATGGAAATTGAGTATAAACATGATGAGGAAAAGTGAAATAAGAAAGTCCCTTGGAACAAAAAGATAAAATTGATTTAATAAAAAAAGTGTTGAAAATTTAATAAATACAATATAGCAGATAATATAATTAATACTGTGTTAATTGGACAATATCTTCAGATATTTTTCAAAGAATTTGTAATTTTCTGACCACAATTAAAACTCATATTACATTAGGTAGATGTATAACAAAAATCTTCCACATCTACTACCTACTTAGTCTTAGTACTTACATATACACAACATACAATAAGCTCCAAAAACAAATTTGTTGCTACAAATGACAATCAATATGATATAGATAAAATTAAATCAGTAGACCCAAATAATATACATACTCATCAAATCTCATTGCATAGGGTCAATAAATAAAATCCATATACCAAGATCTTGGTTTAGTACTTCTGAATTTATAAAAATACTCAACAATTAAGATTTGAAAACCTGGAATACTGATTCAAATGTACCAATCAGTATTCTAGATTTTCAAATGTTAAATATCAAATGGTTTTTATAAACTCACCTTTAGTTAAACTGCTGTCTCCTTCTAGCTCTCTGCTTGTCAAATCTCAACTCCATTTCTTCAAGTACCTTTGGTGTATACCTAACAACTAATTTAACAGATCCATGAGCTTGCTTCAGAAGCTCAACAGCTTTTTCATGATTTTCACCATCAACAGACTGAAAAAAAAAACGAGCTAACCTCAAAAGAATTATTATTGTGGATATCAACTCACCACTCCATTTACACTCAGAAGTTGGTCCCCCCTTTTCAAACCCCCATGCCTGTCTGCCACCCCTCCTGGTATAATCCTAGAAATATAAATGGGTGAATTTTGCTCTTTGCCACCCATCACGTTGAACCCCAGTCCTTCGTCAGTCTTGGGCAACTCGACCACTCTGGGATGAGCGTGGCCTTCACTGGCTGCGAATGCGGCGACAGTGGCTTTAGCAGTAGCCGAAGCCCTAACGTCTTGAGACCCCTGGATGTCCACGGTCTCGTAGACGTGCTCATATACCTCTCGGACAGCGTTCAGGAAGTCGCTCTGGAGGACTTTTTGCAGGGCTGCGAGCTTCGTGGCCGGGACTTCTCCGCTTTTTTGAAGCTTCTCGAGGAGCTCTATTGACCGTTTGATGTCTGCAAGGAAGGTTTTGAATGAGTATAAACAGAAACATTCTATTGGAACTTTTAGATTACCTCGGGATAGTGTCAATGGCTCGCCTATTTGGGCCATTATTTATCTTTATTGAATTGCGAAGCCTAGAATAGAATGGTGAAATTGGTGAATGTGGGTAGAATTCGTAGATGGAAATGAAAATTTCAATAATTCTTCTTCTTCTTTTCTTCATGTTTCTTGGCTTTCTGACTCCTTGCGGTGCCAATTCCACCAGATCAGGGATCAGGTGTTTTGATTATTTAAAGGATCATTTTAAAAAAACTATAAACCTCGTTACAAATATCGAACTTCCATCTAAAACGGCGCTCATCTGCTAATGGGTCAGGAATAAGACGCACACATTCATACTCTCCCCATCTCTAATCTGAACCGAGTAGATCGTTTGAACAGTAGTTCTCAGAATTTTCACAAAATGACCAGCAAAGTGCAGGAATTGGGCGTTATTCAATGGCTTTTTAAATACCTAGGAGAAAATAGAATGTTTCCCAAGAACAAGAATCCTTGAATCCACCCCGTGATGAGGTGTCTTGATGCGAAGAAAATTTCATCTATATTATACTTCATGAATTTCTCTAAAAAATTTCAAAAACACGTTGACATTCAACAAAGTAATACCAGATTACAGTAATGCAGCATTAGTTGTGTTGGAATGATGTTCATAAAGTTTCACAGAAAAAATGAATTATCTTGGCCCAGCTGTCCATGGTGTTCTTTACCAGATTGGGCGCGGATGGATAGTTCAGATTGGTCCACGAGTTTCTCTCGATCCTCTTGACCGAAAACGATTCGATAATTCAAGATCAATAGTGTTTGTACCAGAAACAAAACATACACATTCATAAACACGCTCATCTCTAAACTGAATCGAGTAGTTCGTTTGAACAGTAGTTCTCAAAATGGCCAGAAGCGTGGGAATTTGTATTTCGATGAAATCAAGGCAAAATTATCGCTGAATACATACGAGAAAACAGAATCTCACAAGAAAACTCGAATTCACCTGAAATTTTCTGCAATACATTCTTACGACTTTTGATACACGATTCAAAACGTTTCAAAAACAAAGCCTCTCGCAAAAACAGTAGCTCCTGGTGAAATGCTCTGTAAATCAACTATTATTGATTTCTTTTGTTATCAATCTGGTGGTTACTTCAATTTTCACAATCAATATGTTATTTTCATCATGCACCAATATAGTAACAGTTAGTAACAGTAATCAATGAAAAAAACTACAAATATAACATTTATTGCTTATATAAAATTTTTATCACAAACCCGTTGCTTCTAAAAATACAGACATTAAAAAATATTTCAATTGGGCCAACGCCATTTGACATTCAACAAAATAATACCAGATTACAGTAATACAGGAATGGAGCATAAGTTGTGTTGGAATGGTGTTCATAAAGTTTCACAAAAAAATAAATTAAATCAAATTGGTCATGGTAATTTCAATTTCACTATGCTATATTTATAGTAGAGCTTTGACTTCATCATAGAAGACGAGTACGAGAGCTGCTCCAGTCCCGCGAAGGACGTTGGAGAAGGCGCCCTTGAAGAAGGCGCTAGGGCCCTCGTTCTTAGCTATCTTGGCCCAGCAGTCGATGGTGTTCTTGTACATGATTTCGGACTTGGCACGGCCGGACTGCATCATCATGCGCCTCCTCACAGTGTCGAATGGATAAGAAACGATTCCGGATACGGTGGTCACAGTCTTGGAAAAAATAAATAAAACACAGTTAGGCTGGTTCTCTTCCTATCCGAAAGTTTCGGTATCGATGTGGGGTTCATCAGTAAATGGGTAGTGGTAAATCTGGAGTCATCAAACTAGGCTCAGTCCTTCAAGAACATCATTTGAAATTCAATAATAATTTTTTATTTCCTAACTTCGGCGTGAGTAGATTTATAGAGTGAAGACACTAGACCACCAAATGACTCGTTTCCGGAATGTCATTGGTGGTTAAGTCACTGAATAGCTAAAAATCTGAAGGGTATCTCCCAAGCAGTAATGAATTTACGCCTTCGAAGTGCCCACCTGAAGTTACGGTTTTAACATTTGATATTTTCATTTCATCATCTAAATAATCTACTTATATTAGAGGTCTGACCAATCTGAAAGTCCACCACTATTGGCGTAACTCTAGTTGTATCTAGTGCACGGAATGCTAACTTGGTGATGAAGAACTGATGTTTTCATCATCAAACTAGACTCAGTCCTTCAAGAACATCATTTGAAATTCGATAATAATTTTTCATTTCGTAATTTCGGTGTTTCCGCCAAAATTAATGAGAATAATAGTTATATCTAGAGTGAGTAGATTAATAGAGTGACGACACTAGACCTCCAAATGACTCGTTTCCGGAATGTCATTGGTGGTGAAGTGACTGAATAACTAAAAATCTGAAGGGCATCTCTCAAGCAGTAATGAATTTACGCCTTCGAAGTGCCCACCTGAAGTTAGGGTTCAGATATTTGATATTTTCATTTCATCATCTACATAATCTGAGACTTATAATAGAGGTCTGACCAATCTGAAAGTGTACCACTATTGTCGTTACTCTAGTTGTATCTAGTGCGCGAAATGCTACCTTGGTGATGAAGAGGTGATGTTTCCATCATCAAACTAAGCTCAGTCCTTCAAGAACATCATTTGAAATTGAGTTTTTTTTTTCACCTCTTTTGGGTGTTTCCGCCAAAATTAATGAGGATACAAAAACATTACAACTCATTCCACGTTCATTAATCTCTTCATTTCTGAACGATATTTTTGTTTTTTAATTAGGATAAGTAACTTAGGGAGCCAGGTAGCCGTGCAGAGTGTCAATATTCTAATCCGCATTCGCTTGCCGGTCGTGGGTCACGTTAAAAGGTAAGGCCCCCGTCATTTCTTGCTCGCACAAGACTCTCGATGACTTCTGACGGTTGCTCGTAAGGGGGCAACCGAATGACGGATAGAACAATGTTGGAAGCACGAAATATCTGTTTCAAATGATCGATTAGTTTTTTCCTTTGATTCGTAAAAAAAGAGTAGTCACAGCTGTGACATCCTGTACATGCCAAAAAATTATTATATATCCTCCGGCGGCTGCAATGCATCAAACTTCATTGTATAGTTGAAATATATATGACATCAACCAAAGTGTCCACTTAAGCAAGAAAGAAATGATGAAGTTATTTTCACATGCAAGCAGCCAACAAAAAAAATTCAGGAACAAAATACGAAGAGATAACTGCAATACGGAATAATTTGGATATTTTTTTCTAAAATTTGTACCTATATCTCTACTTCTAAGTTGGGAACCAACTCCCCAAAACTCAAAACTTGTGCAGAATTAGAAACAGCAAGATCTACAGCTTATAGCAGTGGCGGATCTAGGCAGTTTTTCAGGGGGGGGCCATGGGCCGTGAGTTAATGGAATTTTGAAACCAAAGTAATTGAAACCACATGAATAATGAATGATATGAATATATATATATATAGCACAAAGCCCATGGTTTTAACTTCATCACTTTCGTTTAGGGTGAAACTTTGCACAGGGAATGGTTTTGGTATGAAAATGTTCAGGGACAGCAGAGTAAAAAAAACATCTGAAAAGACCAAAGTAATGTGTTTCAAATCTCCAGAAAAGAGATGCGGGTAGAGGATGGATATTACTTTTATTTGCCGTGGCGCTCCGTGGCCACTCACTGATTTTTGGTGGAGTATTCACTTTTCAGCTGCAGGAAAATCCGGAAAAACCTACAGCACCTCGGGTGGTCGGAGCTCACTCCAGGATAACATAAATGTGATGGATAAAAATGTGACTAAACAAACAAAAACACAAATCCACAATTTTACTGATAAGTAAACTTAATAATTAAACGCATAAAACATGAGCTTATTGAATTATGTTCATAAAACAAAATCTACATGCCTATGGCCACTGTTGGCAAATCTGTTGATAACTAATTGTTCATTAATCTCAATGTCCGGATGAGCGTTAATAATAGCTAAACCAGATAGCCTATCTTCCGAAATAGTAGATCTGAGCCAACTTTTTATCCGCCCCAACGAAGAAAAACTTCTTTCTGATGAGGCAACACTGATCGGAAGTGTAATGGAAATTTCAAGAAATGATGTTATTAAAGGAAACATTATTTTATCGCAGTGAGCAAGGGCTCCTAAAGCATAGTCTGGAACAGGAAGTTTTTCTTCGCTGGCTTTTAACCACTTCGCCTTCCATAACTTCAGTTCGCTTTTGAATTCTGTGAATAAAACCTCCTCATTTTGATGAAAAAGTTTGTTGAATTTTTTCACTAAGGCTCGTGCCATTGAATCCAGAGATGTCGTACCAATTTCCCTTATTAACGTGGGTATTATAATGTTCAAATTGAGCAAACTTGTTGTTTCAGCAGAAAATCGACCTTCCAAATCCGTAATTATACTATCGAGCAAGGGTATATATATAATCTGCCTATAGTATTGTTCCAATGATTCGCAATTTGGATTTGGTCTATGTCTCATGACTCCAGTGGTTCTCGGTTTGCTCAAAGTTACCCCCAGTTCAACTAGGGTCACCGCTTACCGCTAATTTGCATTTTACTGAAGCCCCGGCCTTGAAAATAATTATTTTTCCTCTATCGTTATCTGTTTTGCCGCCCTTTGATCTGCCCGCACGTGTCGTTTTCCCATATTCCCACTGCATACAAGAATATTTCTATATAATATTTGTATATGATAATGAATGAAATTCAAAAAAGAGTTGATTTGGCATGATCGAGTGTTTGAGGAACCATTCAATACGAAAACTACGAATACGAATAATTTTGGTTTGTATAACGTAGCTTTGGTTGCATATCCAGACTGATTGTTGAACCAATATCAACTACTTATTCAGAGCTCTGGGGGGGGCCATGGCCCCCATGGCCCCCCCCTCAGATCCGCCAGTGGCTTATAGTGGATTGCAAACCACATCTAGGGCGCCGATTCATATGTTCATTATACAGGGTGTTAAGTGTGGGCAAATTTTGAAGGGTTATGATTTGTATGATGAAAAGACAAACATTCCATAATAAATGGGTCCAGAAATCCATAGTTTACAGGATATAGTGTCAAATTTGTTTCAAAAACAGATTTTTTACCACTATTAGAATTGAAATATTTCGTAACAAATAAGAAATGATCAGTACATACAATGTATCCTATAAAAATTATCGTTATCCTAAGTTTCATACAGATGAAAAATAAAAACATTGTTTTCTGAAATAGTCTGCTGAAAAACTTAGGACCAAGGTTTTCAGGATATATATCAGTGATAAATATTCCGATATATATCTTGATGAATATCTTGATATTTATCCTGATATATATATCATTTTTTTTTCCAAAATTCTATTGATCCCCATAAAAATATTGATATATCTATCTACCGTTTGATATATCGATAAAAATTTTAAAATAACAGACTTATTTGTTTTATTGTTTCATAATGGGAATAATATCATTTTAGTTGTTTTCTTTTTGCTGTCAGTTGTTGAGTTTTCAATTCATTTACTTTCCTATACATGAGACTCACAAGAGCACTGAAATTTGTTATTGTGATAGCAACTTTCACTGAATAGATTATAGAATATTATTGAAATAAAAATAAAATATTAAATATACCAATAAGTAATTTAAAATTTTGAAAAATATGTTCAATTCTTCAATAATAAAACATGAAATCATTCAAAAATAATTTGAAAATATAAATATCATGATATTTGCTTACCCTGCTACTTCAATAAATTCACTTCAGAAAACTTTAAAAAATCAAATTCACACTTACTTGGGCGATGAGGAAAGAAATCAAGAACGGCGTGTTCTTGGGATCCGGCAACATTCCCTTGGCAGTGTCGAAGAAACCAAAGTAGGCGGCACGGTAGATAATAATACCCTGTACAGACACGGCGAACCCTCTGTATAGACCGACAATTCCGTCACTCTTGACGGTCTTTTTGATGCAATCGATCAGACCAGAGTATTGTCGGTCGGTTGTACCTTTGCCTACGTCAGCACCGAGACTGAATAATTTAAAAAAAATGACTGGTGAGTGAAACTGGGAGGAATGGATGTCTATTGTAGTATATGATTTATCAATCAGTTATTGGGTAGTGGTAAATGAGAGTCATCAGACTAGGCTCAGCTCAATAAAAAGCATCATGTTGATTTTGCATTTTCCATTGATTCAAGAAATAATTTCAAAAAACATTAAGGATTTATTGGGCGCAAATCATTGATGATAATTTTCAAGGAATCTGAAAAAAACCCGAACATTTTCAGTGAGTTCAAGAGATTAAAAAAATGTGGATATTTCATTCAATGGGGCAGACCACTGGGCATGGAATCCATCCAAACCTCTTTCAATCCATGAATCACTATGGACATCAAATGTAAAATCAATATTACTAGGAAGTTGAAAGGAATTGAATCTATTGGGTTTTGAAATCAGTATATTTCATGCAATATTGAAAAAGTCAGATATGAAGGTGGAGCCATGAAGTATTAGACCCAAACTATGTAGCTTTCTCTCTCTGATACCTTGCCATTCTGCAGTGTTGCAGTGTGATTGGTCAGCTCAAGGACAATATTCTTGTTGATACTAATACCTTACACCAGTCACATCGATGGACTGAAATCATTTCAAATTTGTTTACATCATCCTGGTAAGAATGAAAGAATTTAAAATTATATTTCCTTGTGGTATTTTGATACAGAGCTCACCATGCTGTTGGTTTTAAAAATCAGTGGTCTCCCTCATTCTTGAAAATTGTAGAGGATTCAAAACAATGTCAGGATACATATGGAAAAAGATCAATTATGTTCTAAATAAAATGAGAAGAATTAAAAGATCAATCAATTCCAAATAATCTCAAAACATTAGAAGCAGTTTTCAGTACCTTGAAATTTGAAATAAAGAAAGTATTTCATAATAATTACAAAATACCAAATGAACTAATAATAATTCAGATGAAATTGAAAGAAATATTGAGAAATTTCAAAAAAATTGAAAGAAAAAAAATATATAGACATTTTGAAGGAACAAAGAATACTAGCAAAAATTGATTCAACAAGAATTATCTGAGAAATTGATTCTTGGAAATTTCTAATGAGCTGAATTCTAGATAATAAACAACGAGATAAACAATTTCAAAAAACAAGAAATTTTACAAAACCCAAAATTAATTTCAAGGTACCTATTCAAATACACCTACACCATCAAATTCAAGAGTATCAGAAACAATTAATTGATCATTTTCTCAATTCCAAGAAATATCACTTATTTTTCAAGGAATTTCCAGGAATTCTTGAAAGAATATCAAAAAATTTTGAAGTGTTCATAATAATTTGAATGAATTTCAACAAATTTAAAGCATTTGAATTCAATTAATGTCTCTATAACAGAGATCAAGGACTGATTAAATTACCAGAATGTAAACTAGAGAAGGCCAAGAAGAAATTCATCATTCATTCACATATTTTTGTCAAACCTCAACAGACAAAAATATTTATACCTAGATTATCAACAAATTGATAAGAAAAGTTCAAACTCTAATTGTCAATTGAGTAATCTTACACTACTTTTCATTAGAATAAATCATGTATTATTATGTAACTATGTTAAAAAAATAATCTCTTTGCTAACTTGAAAAAAATTATTGCCTATTACTGTGATAATCTGGCAATGAAAATAGGAAGAAATAATAATCATGAAACTTCAAATAACTCACCGAGTTCTGGCAAAATCAAGGGGATATACAAAACACAGAGAAGTGGCCCCAGCTGCACCACCAGATGCCAAATTTCCAGCAAAGTATCTCCAGAATTGTGTCTTCTTGTCAACACCTCCCAAAAAGACCTGTTTGTAGACATCCTTGAAGGCAAAGTTCAAAGCCTGAGTAGGGAAGTACCTGATCACATTTGCCATATTACCTCTCCAGTAACTCAAGGCACCCTGTTCTTTGGGGATACGAATGAAACAATCCACCATTCCTGGAATACATATTATTCAAATAAAATCTGGACAGGGTTGGAGCAATCATAGCATATTGACATGTTAATATCAGTAAATGGGTAGTGGTAAAATAGTAGTCATCAAACTAGGCTCAGTCCAGTGAAAAACATCATTTTGATTATTTTTTTCAACAGAAAAAAGAACAATGGATTACTTCCATGTGTTGATATTTCATAATATGCAAATTCTTTATGAGAAGTGATAAGGCAAAAACCACAATATCACAAAGTAAAATAGCTTCCATTCTTCACAAAAGGAAGGATCAAACATCCAAAGCAATTAAAAATGGTCTCAGGCATGAACAAATTTTAAGGTTATACTTACCCTTGTAAGCATTTTCTGAAGAGATTTGTTTGCTGGCTGCTTGTACTTGAAGGAGCAACTTTACCCTTTCGATTGGGGCAACCGCTGTTTTTGCTACGGCGGCGGATATTCCTCCGGCGAGGAAATCTTTCATAAAAGCTTTGGGATCGGTAGGCATTTTGGAATCTTGCTTCAAGACACGTTGACGAGGCGAACGACCAAGACAAAAAGAAAGATTTCAGATTTATGACATCGACTGTGGATGAAATCGAAATTAGTCAACCAACAACGAATCAGAATCGAGATTGGCGAATTAGGTATTTCGGAATGCTGTCAAAATCAGATTCAAGATGGTTGCTGTACCCAAACAAATAGCTGTCATTCCGTGACTTTTTTAACCATATTTTCAATTGAATTTAAAATGTGTTAAATGCTGCTTTCTTCGCTTCTTTAGTTGATAATTGAACTTTATATACTTAGTTTTATTAGGATTACATCATCTTTATAAAAATCATTGAATAGTTGATGTGTATTCCTGTGGTGTATTCTGGACACTATTTGGATAGGTTTTGCTTGGTGTTTGTGTTATAAAAATGTTTTATTGTGGAATAATCAATTGTAAGAGTCGGTAATATCGTGATAGCATGAAGTTTCATCGAATCCTGAGTGTCTTGAAATTTAGACATAAATTGGAACAATGAATTATCAAAAGAAGAGACAAGTGGATAAATAGAAATGGTTTGATGGAGCAGAAACTCAAAATGTTGAGAGTTTGCAGCAAACATTTCCTACCTACTTGGTGAGTTCACTGAAACAGGTAATGAATAGTAGTAAATATAATAGGTATAATGGAAATTTTAGGGAAACCTGCATATCTATCAGATGTTAATAATCCTAACTGGGCTCCCAGTTTATTTTTGGGATATGATAGCTTAGCCTCTGACAACCAATCTAAGGAAACTATCAATGATATGGAAACATCAGAATGCCAAGGTGAGGCTGCAGGACCATCTGATTTCAAACAAGCTGCAGGGCCATCTAATGAACAGGCTGTAGGATCAACAGATTTTCAAGATGAGAACCTTAGTATAGTTCCTGCTGAATGTGATGAATATTCACAAACAAATATCACAGCTGTCAGCCTAGTGCTGATCTAATTATAATTTGATAGGAATCACCCCACAAGAAACAGTGTGTTTGATCAGTGAGGCTTGTGGAGAAAGAGCATCTGATTATCCCATAGCAATCAATTCAAAATTAATAGATAATATTATTCCAGGTAAGTTTCTGTACAAGATCAATTGAATTTAATTGATACCAATCCTTATTAAATCCAGAATAACTGAAAGAGAATAAACTTTTTAAATTAGTTTTATTGACTAGAAGCTAGAAATCTTTTATATGTATGCAAAAACTAATTTATGTATGTCTACTGTTCTAACAATCTTCCTGAACTCATCTGAATTTCAAACAGTATCTATCCAACTTTCAATTAATACAAATTCAATTTGTAGGTGATTTGATTTTAGGTGACCATGGCTTTTTGGTTGGTGACTATGTACAAATTTTGAATGCCCAAGTGAAGATTCAAGCTTTTACAAAAGGAAAGAAACAATTACATCCTACTGAGATTGTGGGAACTAGAGCTACTGCCAATGTGAGAATTCATGTGGAGTGAATTATTGGTGCAATGAAACAGAAGTACAGGATATATTAGCTGATCAACATGCCAATTTCACTTATAATGTGGTGATGATCCAACTCTCCACAAAATCATTACAATTTGCTGTGCAAATATCAACAAAATGTCCCCCAATTGTTCAATTGGACTGAATGTATTATGTTCTTGATTGATGAAGATATATAGTAATAGAGTTGTTATGCAATATAGACAAATCTTTGATAAGTAGGAGCCAAATATATACAGCATATTTCACTTTGAAAGCCCCTTCCTCTATATCCCTCAACTGGTCCCTTATTATCTTGATTTTTATGAAATCATATTAGGAATATTTTGGCATAAAAACTAACTTCATATTGTTCCTCATGCTTCCAAACCTCTATAATGTGCAAAAAAATCACCACATTTCAAATTGACAGGATTGGCTTGATTTTTTTTTTATTTTCAGCCTGGAGAAAATAGTGAATTAAAACTGCTAATCATGATTTGAAAAAAAAAGATACAATATTTTATGTTGAAGTCACCATTTCAGAGTAAATAATGATAAGATTACATTTGCAAAATTGCTATTTAGATATGCCTGTTTTTGAATTTTGAACAAAACTGGTTTGCTTACTCACAACTCACCTAAATAATAAATCATGATAAGTAGTAGATATTTGGGAACACAGGAGAAGAAATACTCAGTTTTTTTTTCAAAAACACAAATGAACAAGCTTGAAATTTATTATATTGTTGTTAGACATTTTTCTTTGTGCCAACACTTTTGGTTTGTCAATTTTCAGGAACTTTACATGAAACATCAATGAACAGTGGATTCATATGTTAATTCATAATCAAATTGTTGATAAAAATATTCCTTGTGATAAGACTGATGAGTATTTTTGAAAAAAATCTGAATTACTATGTTATATTGAGTTAATGTGATAAATATTTTGTGTATGAATGATAGGTACTCATTATGATAGCAAATGTTTGTAATTATTAATAAGTATTTTGTGTGATGATGATATCTATAGATACTTTGAACTGTGATGATTGTCAAAATTTCTAAATTGAAAATTCAAGAAGAATTATTGATGAACAAGGTTGATCTGTTTTTCAATGAATTGTTGGTCAATACAGCAAACTTTAAGAAGACATTAAAATGTTCAAGATAATTCACAAAATTGACTTGATGGACTTTCTGGAAACACATTCTGTTGAGTATATAATTATTATTACAGGTATTACATTGAAATGTGTTTGAGAAAACTATAGTTAAGTTGAATAAAATCATGAAGCATGAATATGTAGTGTTTTAATGAATTATAAGGTTGAAAGAAACTATTTATAATATAGCTTAATTTTTAATTGAAGAATAATTGATTTCATCAATAGTGTAGATATTTGGGGGTATTGTGTCAATATCTTATTTGTGAATGTTCATATTTGTCTAGTAGTTAAGGACAAAGTGAATATTTTTGACATAAATTTCCAGTAGTGATATTGCAGAGCAAGACTAACATCAAAATATTTTCTGGAGTTACTATGGTCAGTATACATTTTTAGATATTTAGAGGTGAATCATGATAGTTTAAATCCTTGCAGATCAGAGCTTACAGGAGTCTGATACAAATTTTTCAAACAGGATTTGCACAAATAGGTAAAGTGGAGGGAATCAGTGATATGCATTGGTGTTGTCCTTGTAAATAAAAGGGTATCAAAGGAGGAAAGTACCTACACTCACTATAATATGCCTGTTTTGTGTGAAAATTATTGAGGAATTAATATGATTAATTGCTTATGCATGGCAGGGATATCAGATATTTGCTAGGTCAATTTCTCTTGAAGATTCCAATATTTCTGAGAGCTGTTGCTTTCTATAGGTTGAATATGTTCTAACTTTAGTGTGATTTTCTCTCAGATTTTTAAGACTGGCAAGAGTAACATTAGAAGGTTTAGGTTTCATCCATTTTGCCTAAAAATGGGTACTTGACTTGGCAGTTCTGCAGTTGTGAATACATGTTAAGCTATAGAGACAAGCAACAACATGATTACAAACTTCTGACAGCCCAGCCATGCAGGTGTAATGGCTCTGTATTTATTCCTTGATCACTTTTACACAATACCCAGACTTCTAGTGAGGGTAACATCATCATTTGAAAATGTTTCACCTACAAAAATATTGAATATTTAACAGGTACTATCCAATTATCCACTCATAGTATGACTGCCTAGAACAACAAACATATGCCACTGATTTTCTTCACTCCACATAGGTATTTGTACAAAACATGCCTCAGAAAATGTATACCCACTCAAACTTTCATGAGCTTTCGTTTGCTCTGCAGTATAGAAACTAGGAGTTAATCTATTGAAGTGACTCCAGGAAACATCGGAGCCTGGGTTTCCATTATTCTGCAGAGAATAGGGATCAATAGAATCGATGACTTTGATTTTCTCTTTGTATCGCTCTATATTATGACCACCAGAAATTCCTAATTTCAATAAATATTCACTTTATTCATGATAAAAACTAAAATGTCAAAAAATCAAAACAAAATCAGTGACGATCATAACCTTAAAACACGCAATTTAGGGGCAGCGGAAGTAAATTTTTGACGTTTGAAGTACGGACGGAAACGGGGCAGGTACAGCGGCCATTTTTAGGTCACGGGTTCTGGAATGCCTAATACGTCACTATATATTTCCTCTTTAACACAATTGCCAACATCAAAAAAATATTCCCCTGTCTAGAAAGAGCACCCATCGCGATCGTCTCGAACATCTCGATAACTAGCGTCTAGCCATAGCATTATAGCGACGTAATATTGGTGCCTCTTGGAAATTACAAAGGCTAGCGGGGGTGTTACATATTCAGATCAGTTACCGAAAGAAAGAAGAAATAAAGAATGAAGTATGATGGAAGAATCAATTCGTTCCAAGAAATATTATTACCTAACTATTCTCAACAGGGTGATCATCTAAAATTCCCCATGCGTGAATATTTTCATTTCAATGCAAAATGCAAAATATATTTCATACTAGCATAATACTTTATTCATTTAAATATTCAATTCCATGAGTGACATTGAACTAACATTATATTCAAGGGAAAATAGTTATTTATTATACTTCTCGCTCCTAGAGTCCCTGTATATACAGCGCCCAGTGAGCAGCGAGCAAAGCGGTATTCGGCATTCGGCGGCAATATAGACGCGGGTGTCTCGTTACTCATAGAACGTTTATGACAAGCGTCTAGCGAGACCAGCGAATCTTTCAAACATCGAGGTCAAGTGACGTCACCCACAACACATGATATTTCTTCCTTCTTTACTACGACCACAGTTTAAGGAATATTTCCATAAACTGTGCTAGCTACGAGCAAAGCGATAAATTAGTGCTCTGTGTATCTGCCTTCCACGGTGGTAACTGGGGCTCAATTCTTTCGACGGTCAGCTTAACTGAAGTTCTCAATCGTATTTCAACACATGGCAACTGTGCTATGATCTGCCTGCCACTACTCACGAAATCGTGGCGTCAGTTTTCACTGGCGGTAAATTTCTAGCCGTTTGAAAATTACCGTTGCTTTATTGATGATTTTAGC